GGCACTTGACCTGACCCTCAGAGGCCACCAGTTGACCTGAGACTTTTTAACCGTGCATCAATCGCTGCGTCCCCGGTCCCGTAACGGCACACATGCTTGTTTTTCCCGCGAGGCTAGCTCAATTAGGGCGAGGGAGTCGTACCCGCCCACTCTCGCGGCGGGGGCGTAGGTACAGGGTGACACAAAAAAGCGGTCATCACCAAAATTCGAATAACTTCGGAAGTTTTATTCAGATCATCACCAAGCTTCGGCCACTTTAGGTCACACCTATGTAGCAGACATCCACCAAGTTTCAAGTCTTCACTACGAATACTTTTAGTACAGTGTGTGTTTTACGGACGCTCCACAATGTGCTCCAGGTGAGCGCCCCGGCGCTGCAGGGCGTAGGCACACCTGCATCCGGCGGGCAAAGTTGCCGATAACCCGATAAGAATAACGTTTCAGGGGTAGCACACCCCCTGAGCACTGTCTCCAGAGGCCATTGCACTCTGTAAAGTGCACAGCCATCGGGTTATCGACAACTTTGCCCGCCGGATGCAAGTGTGCCTACGCCCTGCAGCGCCGTGGCGCTCACCTGGAGCACATTGTGGAGCGTCAGTAAAACACACACTGTACTAAAAGTATTCGTAGTGAAGACTTGAAACTTAGTGGATGTATGCTACATAGGTGTGACCTTAAGTGGCTGAAGTTTGGTGATGATCTGAATAAAACTTCCGAAGTTATTCGAAATTTGGTGATGACCGTTTTTTTTTGTGTCACCCTGTATGTAAAAGAAAAAACTAAGAAGTCTGGTGATGATTGATGCAAGATTCTTACAGATAATTACGGAGCGAGCGAAGCGAGCGTAGTCTTTCCTTAGATTAACGGAAATTTCTGAGTATGAGCGGCCGGCCGGCCGGCCGTGCGGACGCTTTTGCGAGGCTTATATCTCAGCAACCACTTGACCGATTTACACGCGGTAATTTTTGTAGGGTAGCTTCATTCCTTCTACCAAGTATTGGACTATTCCCGATGCATGTGGGTGACCCCTTATGCACGTGCCACGTGCGAAACGAAGAGGTGTCAGTTTTGTAATTGTTGCAATATCTCGGTAACTACTTGGCCGATTGCGCTGAAAGTTGGCATGTAGGTAGGCACCCACTAGGCACTGCATATCCATGTGCCAGAGTTGGGGTGCTGCTGCACGTGCGCACGTGCAGGGGTCGTTTCCAGATCTCGAGAACGGCTGGACCGATTGCGCTCAAATTTGGTACACGGTTAGGGACCAGTTAGTAGGGTGCCGTGCACAAGTCAGTTGGGACCCATTTTGCACGTGCGCACGTGCAGGGTGCCGCTTACAGATCTCGAGAACGGCTGGGCCGATTGTGCTCAAATTTGGCACATCGCTAGAGACCGGTTAGTATGGTGCCGTGCACAAGTCAGTTGGAGGTACCCCCTCGAAATTTCGCACGTGCAAGGCCCACCCTCTCGCTCGCTCCGTTAGTCGCCCCAAAAGGCGTTATACTGGTGGTAGATGAAGGTAGGGCATCAGTTATTAAAGATAAGTGAAACAAATTTGCAGCCCTCAGTAGCATTGATTTATGCATTAAGGGTTATAAAACCATAGGCGGCGGAACGCGGAGGGCACCGGGGCACCGTGCCCCCTATAATTTTGGCATTTAAACATTAGCCCTATGGGCGTTGCATGGAAAGAATCGGACCGAAAGTCGGCAGTGCCCCCCCCCCCCCTATTGAAGGTGTTCCGCCGCTACTATATAGAACAACTGTAAGCTGCAGGCTCAGCTCTTAAGTTTCTACCTATGCCTGCAAACACAATAAAATCAATGGAAGAGTAATAATATATTAATTGCATTTTATTGATGCTATTCAAGTATCAATGGTTACTATGTCACCGATGATTCAATATTATTTGCACGGTATCATTTACCACCATGCGTCTAAATATTTAGTATCTAAAATAATGCAGTAAAATAAGCTGCGCCACGTCTGTCGACAAAATCTGGTGCCAACTCAAGGTCACACGGAAAATGTGGTCACGTGACCAATGTCCGGCAGCTGGAGCAAACGAGGAGGCCATGACCTTGCATGGGTGGCTCAGGACTCAGAATCAGATATGATCTTGAGTTGAGACTCATTGAAAGTAGTTAAAGGGACCCTCCCACCTTAACATTAGATTTGAGTTGAGATAGCCAAAATGGGGTCCCTGGCTCACAATGGCCGGTTTCGGCACTCACAACATCGAGAAATGCCTTAAATCGGAAATATTGAATTTCAAAATTGCAGCATTTTGATTCAGAGGGGCTAATGCATAGGAATACCCCTCTGAATGTGTGACGTCAGCGCAGAAATCTAACGATTTTTAAATGTTTGACTAAAACGTTTTGTATCACGCGGTGGTATAAGCTGCTTTGCGCGCAACAAATGCCGCACTTTCAAATAAAGTCGATAGGATCAGCGGAGATCCCAAAAAGTAAACAAAAGTAAAAGTCTAATATCTTGAAAACCGGTGAATATTTTTCGATGAAATTTGGTAGATATTCGTTTTTGCTCTTTCTGAACCGAGCGACATCACTTTCATGCCAATTCATTAACTTTTTTGAAGGTGGGAGGGTCCCTTTAAGGTATCGGTAAAGCTGGCGTCACCGTCGCCTTCCCGCCAAGGTAGGCCATAATGACCAAGGTCACGTATGTCAAACTAGTGGCAGCTTCAGATCGCAGTTACCGTGCGATCTTACTAACTTACTGCAAATTTGTGCTAACCTGCTGCAGTGGAAAACAAACAACAACGAATACAGCGTCGGATTCAGAATCGCTCAAAAAACTCATATTCGGTAAATTGGGGGACGGGGAGCAAGAATATGACCTTTATTTGGCCCTAGCTTTTACCCCTTACCCCTTAATCGGCCCTTAAAGGAAGGGGCGCGTCAAAAGTGCCTCAAGGGTTCCTCTGATCGCAAAAATAAGGGTCGCAATCGATTCCTCGGGTCAATATCTAGCCGCAGCCACGGGTTCCAGATGTGTGCAACTTACCCCTAACCCCTTGAGGCACTTTTGACGCGCCCCTTCCTTTAAGGGCCGATTAAGGGGTAAGGGGTAAGTTGCACACATCTGGAACCCGAGGCTGGGGCTAGATATTAACCCGGGGAATCGATTGCGACCCTTATTTTGGCGATCAGACGAACCCTTGAGGCACTTTTGACGCGCCCCTTCCTTTAAGGGCCGATTAAGGGGTAAGGGATAAAAGCTAGGGCCAAATAAAGGTCATATTCTTGCTCCCCGTCCCCCAATTGACCGAATATGAGTTTTTTGAGTGATTCTGAATCCGACGCTGTATTCGTTGTTGTTGCTGACGCTAACTTCACGGACATAATACTTACTTGTTTTCCACTGCAGCAGGTTAGCACAAATTTGCAGTAAGTTAGTACGATCGCACGGTAACTGCAATCTGAAGCTGTCACTAGTTTGACATACGTGACCTTGGTCATTACGGCCTACCTTGGCGGGAAGGCGACGGTGACGCCAGCTTTACCGATCTAGGTGAGTTTATTTATATTATAGCATAGCCTATAGGTAGTTTATAGGCTATAGGTAGTTTGGGCGTATTTGACTCTATAGACGCCCAAATTCTTATGCTGTTGATTGATTATTGGGACCAAATTGGGACTGGGAGAAGGGGAGGCAGCCGCAGGTGTCAATTCTGACTTCTGACATGTAAAATGTAGGTACCTAGGTAGTGTAGCAGGCACTTGGCTTGGTAAGACTAAGTACCTACCAACTGCCAAATGCTTTTGGCTCATTAGGCGCCTGTGCCTGAGCCTCTGAGGCTCTTGTAAGTCTGAAATATGGAGTTAAGTGATGGCTAAAGCTGAGGGAGTGATCTAGCATTGATTATTAGGGTGTTGATGGTGACTTGTAAACGACTCAAATTTTTTTGAGTCGATTCTTTGTTTGAGTCGGAAATTTTGAATCGATTCATCAAATGACTCATGATGCTAAATTTAATCGATTCGAATCAACTCATGACTCATCAAGTTCCTCGATGAAGTGATTCGAATCAACTCACGACTCATCGAAAAATGGTTTGATTCTGAGTCGATTCACGAATCAACTCAGAGTCGTTTACAAGTCTGCTGCCCACGCAGGGTGCCATAACCGCGTTCAAACACGGTGCGATAGGGCGCCGTCGGAGTCGGCTCACGCAGGGTCCGACGGGCGCCGGCGCGACCCGACGACCGTGACCGAGCATCGTGGCCGCGCACACATCGGCCGGCCGGCCGCGCGGCGGCCCGACTGAATAGAGAGTGAGAGTGCGGCGAGCAGCGGATCGCGGCCGCGTCCAACTGAAAACAGTGGCCCAGCAGGGCGCGCAATGCGCCTACCCTGCCCGGCTGTCAGACCTAAAAAATCGTGCTTTATGTCCAAAAAGCAGCATCAAGATTAAAATGCTCGAAAATACGTATCAGCGCGGAAGTCAATAAAATTGCAAAATGGCCTACTCCTGCATGCGATGAGTCACTCGTAATGTTGTTGATCCACCATTGGATGAGGCTCTAACGTTGAAGCAATTGATCCACGCTGGCTCGCAGAGTTCTTAGAAAGAACTATCTTCACCCTCAATGGTTAAACTGGCTTAGTAGTTTGTACAGAATTAAATGGTCAGCTTCGCATTTCAATGAATAAGTAATGGATAGTTCCTGAAATTTCCAGAACGAGGCAGCGTTATAAAAATCACTGAATGAATGAACGCATGAATATATAAATCAATGAATGAATGAGTAAACGAGCGAACGTAGACATAAAAATAGCAAACAGGCAACACAACCAACAAACGAAAAGAATGAGCAAACGAACCAATTATCTGAAGAATGAACAGACACATAAACGAAAGAACGGACGAACCGTACTGGTGAAAATTTGGTACTTATCTGAAATCTAGCAATAACCCGATAGTACTCGACTGCCCCATGCCATGACCACCCCTACCCATCGTGTCCACCGACCTGGAAGAGCAGACTGGGGCAGTAGTCCGCCAGCGGGTTGTCCAGAGTCCACATAAGGTACTCCTCCTGGGTGAGGTGGGTGCCGTTCTCCGAGCCAGACAGGATGCGGGCCACCAGCGCGTCCGTCTCTGTGGGTGGAGGTAGGGTGGCTGGGTCAGGATAGACGAGCAACTGGGGCCACCAGCGCGTCCGTCTCTGTGGGTAGAGATGGAGTGGCTCGGTCAGGATAGACGATCAACTGGGTGGAGATGCACGGCAGTGAGCTGACCCAGTGCGGGGACAAAACAGGCAGCGAGAATTCGGTGAGAGTTGACTGTCATCAGCGGTCACAGAGACGAGTGATGAGTATACGCGCGAGAAACCAAACCAACAATTGGTTAGTGCTGGGCAGTGGGCATCGAATGCTGGTAAATACGCATTATACAATACACAATACACATGCTGTTATAAATGCAAGAAGACAGAAATATAAATGGCAATCCTTGAGAAAAGGATGACATTGCTTCTTTTTACGCAGCTAGGGTTTAAAGGTAGTGTGCCAGCTTTCTTGGACCGTATGGAGTTAATGGCCCAGATAAGGAGAACCGGATTTTTAGAACTTATCCATACCTTCAAAACTCATGGAAACGTCTTAAATTCTTCAAATTTTGAGTACCCCAGTGCGAAATTCGCCCCGACGGGTTGTCGGTCGTACCCCAACCACATTTCACACCACTATGAACATTGAACAATAAATGCACACACTGAAATCGCTATTACCGATATGCTCATCCAATCAAGTTTCGATAAACCCGTTCATCATCATCTCCTGCGGTTTCGAACACGCCTGTTAGGTGGCTTCTGATGCTCGTCGAGGTCGGAATTTCCAAATACGCGTGGTGCGTCGGGCCGCGCGCTCTGACTTCGGCCAAGAAAAATGCGTCAGCTGATCATTGTCATTTCTGCCACTTGCGTGTGGTGAAATGGGGTCATAACTTATAAGACGGCTTTTTCATATCAATTATTTTACATAAAATCATATTTCAAACCATAAATAATGTTCGACAGCCAAATAAAAGAAACAATACAATACGGGCTTACAAAGGTAGTGTGCCACCTTTGAAAGATTTCCCATTTTATTTTTCCTAGGATAAGAAGCTTCTGTTTTTACCTAATATCGCAAAAAAAATCAAAAATGGGCCTGGAATAGTGCCTTTTTCGCCTAAAAGTTTTTCGGTTTTTAGATATGTATAACAACTGTAGTGGGCTCACCTGCAAACAGGCGTCGGGCAACAATCGCGAATGCGGCGCACTTGTGACAATAAGCAAAGGTCATTATAGTGTTACGACCATACGACGTACGGGAATGAGTTATCAGCTGTCTAATCGTAGACAACACAATGTCGAGCCTTAAACTGTAGGCCCGTATTGGTATTGTTTCTTTTATTTGGCTGTCGAACATTATTTATGGTTTGAAATATGATTTTATGTATAATAATTGATATGAAAAAGCCGTCTTATAAGTTATGACCCCATTTCACCACACGCAAGTGGCAGAAATGACAATGATCAGCTGACGCATTTTTCTTGGCCGAAGTCAGAGCGCGCGGCCCGACGCACCACGCGTATTTGGAAATTCCGACCTCGACGAGCATCAGAAGCCACCTAACAGGCGTGTTCGAAACCGCAGGAGATGATGATGAACGGGTTTATCGAAACTTGATTGGATGAGCATATCGGTAATAGCCATTTCAGTGTGTGCATTTATTGTTCATAGTGGTGTGAAATGTGGTTGGGGTACGACCGACAACCCGTCGGGGCGAATTTCGCACTGGGGTACTCAAAATTTGAAGAATTTAAGACGTTTCCATGAGTTTTGAAGGTATGGATAAGTTCTAAAAATCCGGTTCTCCTTATCTGGGCCATTAACTCCATACGGTCCAAGAAAGCTGGCACACTACCTTTAAGGCTCGACATTGTGTTGTCTACGATTAGACAGCTGATAACTCATTCCCGTACGTCGTATGGTCGTAACACTATAATGACCTTTGCTTATTGTCACAAGTGCGCCGCATTCGCGATTGTTGCCCGACGCCTGTTTGCAGGTGAGCCCACTACAGTTGTTATACATATCTAAAAACCGAAAAACTTTTAGGCGAAAAAGGCACTATTCCAGGCCCATTTTTGATTTTTTTTTTTGCGATATTAGGTAAAAACAGAAGCTTCTTATCCTAGGAAAAATAAAATGGGAAATCTTTCAAAGGTGGCACACTACCTTTAACAAAGCCAGAAAGGTGATGGTGGCGACTCTCCTCAATACAGACACGTTCAGATGTAATTCTGGAGTACCCTGTAGCCTCAGACTGCTGCACATGACGTGTCTTAATTCACATGGCGCGGCGGACCGAGTCTGGTCGGGGACGGGGACGGGGGCGGGGGCGGGTCGCAGACAGCGGGGCGGGCGCGCTAAGCCACTGGTCTTTTGTGACAACTCGCCAGACTTTAGGGACCGCGAGGGGACAATAATCCGCCCACCTGGCTCCGACATATCTGTCAACACCAACGGCGGAGCCCTGAATGAATGGGCTGGAACGGCTGGTGAGAGCGCAACGGGGACGAACGCGACAGGAATATAGGGAAAGGACGGACTATAAGGACGACCACATACAAACTGAGCGTCATTGAGTCTCCTTTACTCCCAACTCATCCTATTCTCAGTAGGATTCTAGGGCTTCTACACTAAGGCAGCACCCCCAACAACTGATCTACCTGTGATAGATGGGCAGGACCCCCCCCCCCCCCTGCCCCCCACCTCACAACTGACCTGCCGGCGAGACCTCGGCCGCACCCCCGCACCACCACAAGACACAACTGATCTGCCGGCGAGACCTCGGCCGCACCCCCGCACCACCACAAGACACAACTGACCTGCCTGTGAGACCTCAGCAGCACCCCCGCACCACCACAAGTCACAACTGACCTGCCGGTGAGACCTCGGCCGCACCCCCGAACCACCACTTTCACAACTGACCTGCCGGCGAGACCTCGGCCGCGGCAGCCCCGCACCACCAAAGTCACAACTGACCTGCCGGTGAGACCTCGGCCGACATGGCGTGTAGAGCGTCCACCATCAGCCGGACCTCCGACTCGCTCAGCCGGCCGTCACGATCGCCGTCAAACACCTTGAAACAGACTGGGGACCAACACACACACCAACATAACGGTTAGGTGATGAGGCTTGTAGCTAGACGGTCGGACTCACGACTTGCCAAAGGGAATCAACTGGGAAGTAAAGCACGTAAAACAAGATCACCCCAAAACGCTGACAGGTGCACGAGTAAAAACATGAAGTGCCAGCACGGATCAGTGGCGTTTTATCCACGATTGTAGTCTTGCAGCGACCAAAACTGTCAAAACAATGTTCATCACCAACCTCCACAGTCGAACCTCTGGACTCTCTCACTATCTGACGCAAAATGCTAACCGAGTTGCAATACATAAATATACTCTTCAGTGCGCCGCCTTCCGACAGTCATGACAGCTAGTCAAACTTTATCAGCTCAACAGTCTGAGACCAAGGTCGCTCACTAACCGTGTCATCTTTCCATAAACCCGGGTCGTTCCGGCTCTCGTCCGGCCAGCTGACTACGCCGCCCCTCCCTCAGAGCCGTCCCTCTACTCACACTTTTGCCGCTCCAGCTGAGGGCCGCGGCAGCTCGCCGAAATGCCGCACGCCATCTCCTTGAAGTCGATGTGGCCGTCGCGGTTCTCGTCGAAGGCGTTGAAGAAGCCGTCGAGCATCTGTTCCGGCAGCGGCGGTGTGACCAGCGGCGCCAACAGCTCGCGGTCGAACCGGCCCGAGCGAGACTGCGCCTTCAGACTCCAGTACTTGTGCTCCAGCTCCAGAATCTCCCGCTCTTCAACTGGGACGCGCAAACAAAACACGAAAATGAGCAACACTCAGGCGGAGACATTGTAAGAAAACAAAAAAAAAATACGACTAGCTTTATTTGTTAAGTGCATGTTCCGTGATGTAAGTAATATATTTTCAGTTTTCACCAAAACAACACAGCTGTGAATATAGATAGAGCTCATTCTATATAAGGAAAACTCGTGAAATACTCCACTTGGAATAAAAAAATACTTCTATTGAGCTGTCGTTCATCCCTAACTTTTTACCTTCCGTTCCAAATATCATTTTCGGTCTTTAACTACGTAAATTGCCAGTACCGACTCATTTTACCCATAAATCAAGCTAATTCGATAGCTCAAAGCTAGGTATCTCCCTTCTCCATCGTCGTACGCCCATTCGATCCTCGCACATCCCCACCACCCCGTCACTATCCAGTGTCTCGATGTGGCTCTCTCCCGCGCCTCTCCGCAGCCCTCTGCGACCACTCACGGTGTGTGACTCCGGCCAGCGACTGGTAGAAGGTGGGCGTCTCCAGATCGTCCGACAGCTTCAGACCCGAGTCGGCCGACAGGAGCCACGTGCTCAGCTCTGTGGCGTGCGAGTACAGCTGTACCCAGTCGCGGTACTCGGCGTACCCCACGCGTTCCTCCTGTGGTACCGAAGTACGGTCAGTTCGGGCACGGAAAGATGTACCGCGCGTGGGTGTGCCGTCAGTCCCCGGCCATTTATACACGGACCGGAAGACGTTCTTGGTAGATCCCGAAACGGAAATTCAATTCACGCAAGCGGGCTGTGATCTGCATGTTCCATTTTGTCAAAGAGAACTCCGTGAAATTGAATATGTCAGCACCATTCAAACATTCAAAAGGCGAGCGTGGGTCGGACGAGCATATTTCTGGAGGCAGTGCAAAATGAGACATCGTCAATAAACTGAAATGCCCTCGGGAACGGGGAAAGTACAAGCTAAAAGGGCCATCAAGTCCTCCGCGCATTTCAAATATTGATCAACGTTATCACGTGCGGAAAGCAGCTGATAGATGCCGGACCGTATATCACGGGAAAATGTCCCATGAGGCCAACAGTAACGCATAAACTACAGTTACCACACACGATATTCCAATTTGTTTTGAGCGGTGGAAGGACCAGTAGTCCGGACCGCACAGAGACTGTCGCAGCGGCGTGTCCCAGCAGGTCTGACTGGCCTCCCCGAGGTGTTTATTTATTATTAGTATACAATAACGCCTCGGCCGGACGTTTGCGTCACAAAACCAGACCAGGGGTGTCTGAGCCCCTCACCCATCAGTCGGCTCACCCAAGGCCGTGTAGCACCAGAGTTATGCAACCAGGTAATGTCTCTATCGTGAATAGTGAATACGGATTGTGCGGGTGTGCCGATATATTATGTCTCAAGTGCCAACGCCCAAGATGTTATGATGCAGAGTGCAGACAAAACGATGACCGTGCAAATAATTCCATCATACAGAATCTCCCTAGTCGGTCAAAGCATCGCCCGTACAAGTGGAATAGTTCGTTCCCCGTCTCGTACCGTTCCCCTTCCGTGTCTGCCCTCAATGCCAGATCAGGAGCTCTCTCAGTACCGGGCCGGTCCGGAAGCGTCAGCGCACTATGCCTCGGCACGGCCGCCGCCTGTCAGTCCGTGCCGCGCGGCGCCGCTGCCACCCGGCACGGCGCCCGTGTCGTCAGCTGATCGGAGCGAGCGGACGGCACGCGTCGCCCACGCACTGTCGAGGGACATCGGACGGACGGCGACGGCGGCCCGGACCAGTGACAGGAGGGGGCGGGGGGTAGGGACTAACCACCCGGAGACGGACCGCGGACCACGTGGACCAGAGACTGCGCGGAGCCGGGACCACCACCAACCGGACAGGATTTATCTCACTGTGCTCTCGTGCCAACACTCGTACTCAACAGCTGACAGAGGATTAACTGAAGTAGCGCCTCATCCTATAGCCGTTGGCATCTATTATACGCCGAATATGTATGATTTAAGTGCCGTGGAACACGATATTACTTACGTATTTATTTCATATCGTTAAAAACCACTTCATCATCCTGAAATCGCTATTCTCCGCCATCATTTGATGATTAATCAAATGATTATTTGATTGACAAATGAGATATAAAGATCACGGATTATTGGAAACCAGACGCAGGCGTGCAAAATAGCAAAAAAAAAACGCATCTTAAAGTCACCATACGGTTGCGCGAGCGACAGCTTGTGCTAAATGTGCATTGTGCAATTCCCCCTTGAATCTAGTTCAATGAACACGGAATATAAAACGTTATCAAAAATAAATGTGGCACGACATGTCGCAAATAACACGAAAGCTATTAAATGTTCTCGGAGCTAGCGAGCTTGGAGACATCCGACGGAATTACCCAATCGCCGCGCCATTGATTTTAGAAGTCGTGCAGTCGTCACTCGCATATCACGGTGACCTTTAAACCATTTAAAAGCGAACCACCACTTACCGTTTCCCAATCTACTCTCTCCCCCACCCCCTCCCTCCACAGCCCTCCCCGGGGACCCACACGGCGGCAGAATCAGGACGACCGACACGTACCGACTTGAAGAGCGCCCTGAAGCCGTCCACGTTGGTCTTGCCCTCGCACTGTTGCACCACCTTCAGCATGGACGTGCGGGTGATGAACTGGCCGCCCTCGCCGGCGTACACGTTGAACAGCACTGGGGGCGGAGGAGCTCGGTGTTAGCGGTGTTGACCGCTATAGAGTCGGAGTAAACACATTCAACAGTTGCCAGGAGCAGATCAAGATTGTTTGTGCTACGTTTGGGATAGATGATAGTGACAGGCGATTTATCGTCATAACTTGCATTATGTGTAGACAATGTTAAATGCAGAAATCGAAAGATCAGTCATTGAGCAATGCATTTACAGGTCGACCGTTGTGGGAGCAATAGATTGACGCGCTGACGGCAGTAGTTACATAAGATACTCACGCTTAATTTTCTCCTCGACAGTCCCCCTTGTAATGACGACGAGGCCACACAGCAGGTCCTTGAAGCTGATGCCCTTCTGACCACCACTGCATGCGGTGTAGATGATCTGAAAGACGAGATAACAGGGACGTGAAATCGAGACGATGTCTGATATAAGCACTAAGGCTGCATATTACATTATCGGAACACGTGCCAGAAGACACGACGTGCAGAGGGCATGGAATGTACACTCGTGGGCAGATTGATGTTCCACCACTCCCTACCCATCGGGCTCCTCCCAGCCAGCAATTCACTTGGGCTGAACTGTGGCAAACGTCGGGCAGCTTGGGCTTAGCTTGGGTTTGCCCACTTTGATCAAAACCAATGTATTTTTTACTAGGGCTGAGCTTGGGCATGCCGCAGCTATGCCCACGTGCGGATAGCAGTAGCTCAGCCCGACATCTGCCCACGCATCCAAAACAGGCTTAACTTGGGCGGAGCGCGGGCTGATCAAGCTGGCTGTGTCCTTCGGCTAACTGGAGTAAAGCCGGAGTTAAGCCATACTTGTTCGGCTGTTCGCGCATGCGCAGTTCTGCGCCAATCATGTGCAGCGTTTGTGACAGTCTGCGCGCTGTGCGACGAAACGACACACCGGTGTTTGGGCATTTGGTGGTTGATGTTTGGGCGCGTGTGACAGCGCGAAGAACGGATAGTGCTCATTGCTCTTATCAAGTGGACTGGCATGGAGTTTTACGGTAGGTAATTGTATTGAATGGTGCGCTTGATCGTATGTAAACGTCATTATTTTGACTGAGTTTCACGCCATCAAACATGAAGCTGAATGGCTGTTCAGCCTGGCGACTTACACCCTCGCTCAGAAAAGCCGCATTCCGTGCCTTTATGTATATCTTTGTGAAATACCAGCACTTCTGAACCAGGAAAATGAAATACAAAACACAAATATTTATCTACTTATCACCGAGCACGCTCATTCTCTGTCCGCGTTGAAAAATTCGAATGAATATTTTATACGGATCAATGAGAAGTGCTGTTACAGTATTAATGCAACAATAAGTTATTTTTCAAGCAAACATGCAATGTAAATTAAACCAATTGATCTCTTTTTCAGGTATACGTACCATTAGAGCAAATTGTTCCAAAAAAAAAATGGAATAGTTATACAAACCAGGACCGGGTGGACGCCGCTGTCGCCCTCGCCAAGTGGTTTCCCAGTAAACATGCCGACGTCGGCCGACGTCGGGGTGACGTCGGCAACTCGGCATCAGCATGCCGACGTCGGCCCGACGTCGGTCCAACCTCGGCACGACGTCGGCTGGATGTCGGATATGCCCGCATGTTCCGACGTCCAGCCGAGGTCCAGCCGACGTCGGGCCGACGTCGGACCGCGATCAATTGCTGAGGTCCAGCCGACGTCGGGGCGACGTCGGACCGACATCGGCCGCTGTTTTGACCGTTAAAATAATATAAAATACATGTTTCATGTTTCATAAAGAGCTTCTGTATTCAAAATATCCTCAGGAAACTCAAATCTTCCTCCACGCCGCAGCCCCCTGATCCGGACTGGACGGGAAACTTTATCCCATTTGGGATTGCCCGTAAGCCGAGCTCGCCCGTAGCCGGGTGCGGTGAGTGCTTGGGGGCTGCTCGGCCTATCCTTTGGTCAGGCTCAGCCCCGGCAACTCACCAGGGCCGGGCCCAGTTCATATAGAAAAACTGAACTCCTTCTCCTTGGTACCAGACAGAACACCCGCCACCTCCCTCCTGTCAGCGTACGGATCGGTGGGGAGACCGTTCAGGAGAGCCGCACTGCTAAAAATCTCGGCGTTATTTTTGACAAACACCCGACTTGGGAAGCACACGTGACCGATATCGTTCACAAGTGCATTGGCATCCTGATCGGTCTCCGTCACCTGAGACATTTCCTCCCGCAGAGGGCTCTGCTCTCAATAGTTCAGAGTTTGGTGATCTCCCGAGTGTCTTACTGTATCACGGTTTATGGGAATGGATCAGCTGCTAACGATACTCGGATGCTCAAGGTCATCAATTTTGCGGCGCGTGTAGTGACCGGTCTTAGAAAATTTGATCATATCTCTCGAGCGCGAAATCAGTTGGGTTTTATGGTGCCGCGGCAAATGTGTGATTTGTATACCTTGACTGCTTCCCACAAGATACTTGTCAGTGGAGAGCCGTCCGAACTGGCCTCACTCTTCCAGTGTTTTTCCGACGCGCGCAATTGTGACCGGCCAACTAGACAGGACGGGCGTCTTCGGCCGCCGGCTTTCCGAACCGTGACCGGACAGCGATCTTTTAGTTACCGAGCTGTGACGCTTCTCAACCGCCTACCAATCGAGACCCGAGCTCTGGGCCCGTCTGCTTTTAAGCGCGCTGCCAAGTCGCTGGTAAATGTGGTAATGCGGTAGTTTTACGCCCGTGCATGTCTGAGTGTGTGTGTGTGTTTGCATGTGTGTGTGCTGTGTACCTACATTATTGTTTGCTGCCTGTCATCCCTCACACTTCATTGACATTTTGTTTTATCTTTCTTACTTAAGGCACAGAATAGCCACAACCATGTGTGGAGTGTCTGCTGACGTAATACATAGAAAGGCCAGTCGGCAAGTGTCACTTTTCCAAAGTGCCACTTATCAAAGGGACACTTTGGGAAACGTTGGTGCAGGTGTGTAAGAGTGGCTATATGAATCCATTGTGGGGTCGCCCTTTCCAATAAGTGTCACGTAACAGCAATGGGACCAGGGACTCTACATATATGAACTGGACCCAGGGTGCTCGCCAAGAAGACCAATGTCTCCATCCTATGATCCTTCCGGCTCTGAAATGGTCTTGTCAGACCGAAAGGGCATAACCCAACAAAACAAACCAAATTCGTCTGCTGGCTGCGTGGTGTAGTGGTTAGCGCACTAACCTCGCATTCGAATGACACGGGGTTCGAATCCCATCACCGGCTGATGCTTTTGGCGTGTTGTCCCAGTAAACATGCCGACGTCGGCGACTGGGGGGCTCGAATCCCGCCGCTGGTTGATTTTGGCGCGTTGTCCCAATAAACATGCCGACGTCGGCCCCGTCGGTCCAACGACAAACGATCTCGTCAACCTCGGCAAACGATCTCGGCCCGACGTCGGCTCGACGTCGGCTGGACTTCGGCTGGACGTCGGAACATGCGGGCATATCCGACGTCCAGCCGATGTCGGGCCGAGGTTGAACCGACGCTGGGCCGACGTCGGACCGAGCCTCGGCCCGACGTCGGGCCGACGTCGGCATGTTTACTGGGTTAGCGGAAACTGCCTGCCTATAATTAAGTAGGTATACCTACATATACGGAAACTGCGCCGAAAGCTGGCCGACCACCTACTGCAGATGTGTGTGTGTGTGTGGAGGAGCCAGACGCCTCCAAAGCTCCCATTCACCAGAGTGAAGTTCTTTATAAACGATTGTTTGCTAATTGCTTTATGTCTTATGAGCGATTACTTGCTGTCCTTACTTTATGCTTTCGGTTAAGTGTTCAACCAAGTATTATGAACGCCCGACGCCGAACGGGGAGGAAGGCTAGCGGGTCTTGTGATTGATTTATAGTTTTGATGGCGCTTTTTCATGACTCATGCCATATTATTGCTGCAGTTTGCAGTCCACTGTTTCATGTATTTGTGTTTCATTTGACGTGTCTGTAGTCGGTTGAAATAAACATTCAATCAAAGTCAGCCACTACTTTCCTTTCGAAATGCTCGATGACCGGTTAACAGAGCATATGAGTGACCGTAGCAATTTTAAATATGCATTAAAACCACACAACCTGCTGAAAGTGCATTGGCTGCTCCTTGCTACTTGATCCAGTGTGAAGCAAAAACAAGATGAAGTCAAGTCGAGACTTGAGAAAACAGGAGCCGTCACTCGAGCCGAACCCGAGCAAAGCCACAGCAGTTTGCAATGTATAAACCCCATTCACTTCTATGGCTTAAGTCGGGATAGACAGGGCATACAGAGTGGGCTTGCCGGAGTTCAGCCCGCTGGGGCCCAGAGTAATTTCCATTATATAAATGGATTCACTGCTCGGGCTTAAATCGGGCTAACGCCAATCGTCGCTCAACTAGGGCTAAACTACGGCTGCCCGGAGCTCGCAGAGCGGGCATACCTCCGGCAGAGCATGGGCTTTAGTCGGCGTTTCTGTGTCATACGCCGACTTTAGCCCAAGCCCTAGCCGACTTTAGCCCGACTAAAAATCTCGGGCAATCCGCACTTGAGCCTGCTTGGGCCCGGAGCAAAATTGCTGGCTGGGCTATGGCTCAGCACTGGCTGCTGCCAGTGGCAGCACTGGCAGCACTGGCACTGGCAGACAGTGCTAAGCAGTGCTGAGGGCAGGCAACACTGGCAGCAGCAGCCAGTGCTGAGCCATGGGAGCCCGATGGGTAGGGAGTGGTGGAACATCAATCTGCCCCCGAGTGTACCACATGAGCGCAGCCTGTCTGCGAACCTGTTGAGTGTGGAGGGTATCACTAGCTGCAACGTGCACAGTTTTCATAAGGAGATCGAAAACACAAATGCTACAAAGGGTTAAGACAAAACACAATGGACGTCACTAGCCACCTGAAGACCCCAGCCCCTGCCCGACCTGACGAGTCGCCGGGAGTCCGACCGGCCGGGGTCGGCGACGGTCGGGGTCGGACGGACGCTCAGGATGAGAGGTCACGCCCCGGTCGGCGGTCGGCGATGGAGGGACACGCCCGGCCAACGGGACCGGCGAGAGGCGGGTGAGACAGGGGACGGTGAGCCCCGATCGACCGGTGTGAGATCAAAACGGAGATAACAACATGATCGGAGCTAAGGTGGGACTGGAGCCACGGCAGAAGCATCCGAGACCAAAACTAGGAACGGTTCCGGAACCGATAACCATATTGAGTTTGTGCCTGAAATTGGGACCGGGTCTGAGACTGAGACTACCGACTAACAGTAACGTAGGTATAACAAATGAATGACAAAAGTGGAGTTTCAGTAACATTGAGAGGCTCGCGGGTTCTAGATCATGAACGGCAAAAAGGGGACACAAACGGCGATAGACCCGAGGACGAAATATTGTTCTAATCATCAATAACGCTACATCGTCATTCACAGGCTCAGCAGTCGCACCGGTCGTCCAAAAAGCCAGCTGTCCTGTTGTGTGGCGGTCCGCGACGCATCTCGACTCGTCCCGCGCCCAGCCATCCCCACGCAGCAGTCAATCATCGTTGCCCCCCCCCCCCCCCCGCCTGGCACGGGAGGTGTGACGCGTCATTCCTCGACCGATAGTGGCCCGGGGGCAACAGTCGGCAGCCGGCAGTCACCGATAGCCACAGCTGGTGCGACGCGCGGATAAACCGACAGATAGCACCTCCCGGGCACCCGGGGAAATAAACCGGCACATCAGCAAACTCGCCGTATCGCCGGTATTGAGAGGATGAACTGCAGCTCCAGATGCCGGTGTGTGTATGGTATTATCTAATGAGTAAGGTTAACAATGCCTGCAGAGAGCCATGAAGGCTTTAACTGAATGCAATCAGTCAGTGTAAAGGGTGTTTATAAAGAAGTTGTATTATCTTCTGGGGGTAGAGATCTTACCCAAATCAGACCACAACACACAATGATTGTGAACTTGAATGTTGGTGAAATAATTTCATGATCTCGTTTGAGCCAAGAAGCTCCCAAAATCAAACCAACATGCATTTGTCACCTCTCTAATCTTCCTTATTTGGAATTAGAAACACAGAGAAAAAGCATTAACATTGAATAAACACCAACCAAATAAGCAAGCGTTGATCTTCCTTGTAAGATCAGGAAATTCTGAGCAGTTGGGCTAAGTAAGAAGCCTTAGTTTAGGGTGCCCACATAGCCAGGCATGGTCAATTGCATTCATGGACAGACTGCAACTGGCTGTGACCTCTCTCAACAACCTCAGGCCATCCTCATCAACATTTCCATACATCAAGAGAATAAGTGACTGGAAGGTGGGCTTTCACCAACAGGAATCTGACACTTCACCAGGTGTGCTACAGGATGGACAAACATATTAACTATGCTAATGCTGATATAATACACACTAGCCTAAAATATTGACTGCACAAACAGCACAGATACTACACCTATCAAGTCAGTGTGCCACAACCCATCCAGCACCCTATTCCACAGCATTACCATGCTACATCCATTCAGTGTATGTTGCTCCTCCCATGATTCCCTACATGTAGTACACTATTAGACAGACAAACTTGCATATCATCACTTTTTTACTCCCTTCTGGTTCTGTACCTAAACTAAGAGGATAACAAAAAAATAAAAAATGAGAATTGAGAGTCATAATGCAACCTACCTCTGCTTGTGAGGCTGGAACATTATCACCCAGCACATCATGAAAGAATGTCTGCCGACTGATGGTGCCACTAGCATTACCCAGCCGCTTGGCTGCCTCGCGCAGCCGCTTCAGGTCTGCATCACTGACTGTGGGCAGAGAAATAAAAATAACTGGTGTCAATGGTGTCAAACAGAGGTCAAACAGTCACGAAACCAATACTGGTTAGTGGTTTGCTTAAGCTGTTTAACACACAATTATTGTCATAAGTAAAGTATGCACACTTTTACCTGCAAATGAATGATTGCAACATTCTTATATGCTGAAAAATTAAAGATTATGAATTATGACTCAGTGGAAACATGAAAGCAAAATTAGTGTCAGTGCATCCAGCTCTTTCTGATGAAATCAAATTGCATTGCTGGTTCACAGTGGCAGCAATGCTTAAAAAATCGGCTGCCAGTCTATGTCTAATGCTTGAAGATTGCAATTAAAGAAAACATCACCTAATTCCTCCACAAAATAAGTCGATAATTTACCTCTTTTGACGGCATCCTCGTAAGAAATGCAGGTGAGCTTCGACTCCTTTCCGCCCATAACTGATCACTTTCATCGAATATATTCATGTAAAAAGAGCTTGGACATATTGAAAGTAATGTGGGTCACACGTAAAACATAACGATATGATATAAACAAGCCATCCACAAAAATTCTTCGAAAATAATCATGCGACCCTAACCACTTCCACTCTTGTCGCGCATTGCCTATTATTTGTTTTGGTAGAAGAGAAGAAGAATATTGTACTTTGAGACTTGGGGCGCCAGTAGAGTACCGAGCTTTTATCAAAAATAATGCCAGTTTTAGTAATTATAAGCCACATTTTGCAATTTAACAAATTATTTCATCCTTTCAAAAATATATTAAACAAGATTTTAAACATTTAAGCTAGATATTATAAATAAAGGAGTGGTACTTTATCGATAAACCCGCAAAAAGTACCAATTCATTTCCCCACTACGGTTCTCTCGTGATTCTCATTTTGTTCAAGGTTTATGTAAATTGAAGTGCTTTTGTAATGACGTATATATAATAATTTTTAGAAAATCAGGTTGTTTGAGGCCGTTAAATAATTTTTTACCATATACAAATTATAATTATTATAAATTATTAAAGCATAACACTTTAAGCTACATTATAAACTTATGTTGATCAAAATTTTTTAACAAAATGTAATTTATGTCTTTTTACTCTACAAATATTTATATGAAGCATATGCGTCATATTTGTGAAAACCCTAATTAGGACGTGAATAAATAGAATTTGTAAATTGTTTGAGAGGTGGGAGTCACTGATCCGAGTAGTCTCAGAGATTGATATTAGATATTTCTGTGAGTATTCAATTATTTTGGTGCAAGCGGCTGTTGTACACGGCACTGGGTTTTGACGGCATCGTCATCGTGGATTAGTAGAGTAGGTACGAAGTAGGTACTGTTAAGAAAAAAATAATCATTTTGGGGAGGATTTCAAGATATATGCCTTACATAACCTCAACCTTAAAGTTAAAGTTCATGAAATTTTAAGAGCTAGTGTTGGTGTGGGAATCTTACCTTACCTTCCTTACCTTCACAGTGATCAGGAGGGAAAAGGCCACTTGGCCTGGAGATCCCGTTTTCATCGAGCTCTAGGACTAGGACAGTCTGGGCTCTTATGGGTATGGAATGTCATACTTCAGGCTTTTCCAGCGTTCGTCCAGCCTGGCCTTGAACTGATTGATGCTGGTGGCAGACACTACAGAAGCTGACGAGTTCCAGTCATTCACAATCACAACTCTTGTGCTGAAGGTGTTCCTCCTCGGAGCGTCCTTGTGTTCGGTTTCTGCAGCTTCCACTGATGTCCCCTTGTGTGGTCGGAGCTGTGTCTGGTCGGAAGCGCTTCAGGAACGACTGACATGCCACCATGGAACAGCTGAAACACTGTCACCATGTCCCCTCGGCGACGACTATAGTACAGCGACGGTATGTCGAGTCGGTGCAGATGCTCGGTGTATGTGAGATGTCTGATGGTGTCAACCATGTGAGTCGCTCGACGTTGTACCCGCTCCAACCGTTTCTGATTGACTGCCAAATGGCCCCCATGCAATGTTGCCATACTCGAGGAACGGTCTCACCACAGACTTGTACAGCAGAGGCAGCGTGATCATGTCGAGGGTGGCAAGTGAGCGCCTCACAATAGCCAACATCTGGGTCGCTTTTGCAATGGCAGCAGCAGTTTGTTGGTGGAACTTCAGGTTCTTGTTGATAATGATGCCCAGATCCCTCTCTTCGCTCACGCTCTCAATCGCGGCGTTACTTACCTGGTTTACTTACCTGGTTGGGTTCCCTTCGCTTGGTAGTCTTAGGAAAAAGGGCTGGTAAGGAAGGATAGGAACCCTGTCTCACAAGACACGCCAGTTCAAAACATGCTATACAGTTGTTCCAGTTTGGCAACGTAGATCACAAGAATGAGAACTGGAAATGTGTGTCTGCAGTATGACAGGCAATAGATACATTTCATGTTAGCGATAATACATACAGAGAATACCAATATAACGAGCGATTTTACAAATATTCTACGAGTTTGTCTGGGATATGCTGCTCAAGACCCCTCTTGAAGGACTGGATGTCCGGAGCAGTAACAACAGATTCAGGGAGGCTGTTCCAGAGGTTAACACATCGTTTGGAGAAAAAGCGCTTACGTACATCAGTGCACGAACGGGTCACATAAATCTTACGACTGTGACCTCTGGTGACGCTGCTGTCGGTTAGAGTGAACATGGAGTCTGGACTTATACAGCTGTGACCATTCACAATCTTCCAGTACTGGATGAGGTCAGCCCTAGTCAGCCTTCCCTGTACAGAGTAGAGCCCTAGCCTGTTCAGTCTCTCTGCATAAGTTAAGTCTGATAGTGACTCCACGCGCTTAGTCCATTGCCTCTGGACACGTTCGAGTTTCCGAGCATCCTCCACGTAGCCTGTGTTCCAAAGACACGAACCATATTCAATAACTGGTCTGACGTGGGTCTTGAAAAGGAATGTCATAAAATCAGGATTTCGACACACTGTGGATTTGAGGAAGCTGTGGCAGAGTCCTGAGGCTTTGTGAGCGACGGATTCAATGTGTAGGTGGAACTTCAAGGATATGTCCACTGTAACCCCTAAGTCAGGATGTGAGCTGACAAAGGGTAGCGGGTTCCCATTAAGGACATAGGGGGTGGGGGGCACCTGTTCTAGGTTCCGGGAGGATCTGGAGAATCTTAGCACGGCGCATTTACTGGCGTTTAGATGCAGTCCCCAGGATTCAGAAGTGCGCACTAGAACGTCCACATCAGATTGCAATGACTGCACAGGGTTGGTATCGTCTGCGTCAGTCAACCTGCTAGTACATGCATAAATTTTTAAGTCATCAGCGAACACCTTATGCTTACAAGACAGTTGAGAGGCTATGTGGTTGATATACACAAGAAAAAGGAGAGGGCCGAGGACCGATCCCTGAGGGACACCACTTAATACAGCCTTAGAGCTACTCAGTATGTCCATCACGCCGACCTGTAACGTTCTGTGAGAGAGAAACGATGAGATCCAGTCAAGCAGCGAGCCATCAATCCCGATGAGGCGAAGTTTGGTCAATAGTATGCTGTGGTTCACAACATCAAAGGCCTTGCTGTAGTCAAACAGGATTACATCAACTGTGCTACCATCATCCAGTGCCTGTGAAACATCATTGTACACCAGCAGCAACTGGTCAACGGTGGAGCGCCCCGGGCGGAATCCAAACTGGTGATCAGACAAGACAGAGTGTTCCTCCAGGTAGCTGTGGACATGGGCACATATTAGTCTTTCCATGGCCTTGCAAGACACTGAGGTTAGGCTGATGGGCCTGTAATTCAGTGGATCATATCTGCTGCCTTTTTTAAAAATAGGTACAACCAGTGACTTTTTCCACATCATGGGAACACAACCTTCAGACAGTGAACGTGAGAATATGACGTACAAGGGGTAAGCCAATGCGTTAGCACACTTATTCAGAAGTAGGGGATGTATTAGGTCCGGGCCCATAGCTGAGTTCCCGTCCAAGCCACGGAGCAGTGCATGCACGTCGCCAATGGAGAACTCCAGCCTGTCAATGAATGCGTCAGACAACTGGTGGGGCTCCTGGTGAGTCGGGGTAGACTGGCAGAACACCGATGAAAAGGAGGAGGCCAGACACTCACTCATTATCTTGGGATCACCACTCACCTGGCCACCTGGGAGCCTAAGCGGGCCCACAGTGGCAGGGGCAGTCTTCTTGGATCTGACATAGGCATGAAAAAGTTTAGGGTTGTCTCTCCACGCATCAATCACCCTTGCTTCATACCTGGCCTGGGAAGACACGGCAAACGATCTGCATTGGCGGTTCAGGCTGCAAAACTTTGAATACGCTTCAAGAGCATCGTTAGAGCGCCTACCACTCTGTCTGCGGATATTCTTGTAGGCCTGCCAAGCGTGCTGCCGGTCCCGTATCAGACTCCCTGGGGGCGCTACCTTCCATGGCACAGCACTCCTGGGCCGGAGGGTCTTGACAGGTACATGTTCCTTAACTACATCACTGACAATCTCAACAAATTTATCATATGAGGAAGTTACGTTAAGGTAGGCAAACTCAAAATCCCAGTCAACAAGCGATAGTACTTCCGAGATCGCCGTGTAGTTACCCTTGTGCCATGCTAGACGGTTGTTGGGGACGGTCTCTTCCAGCTCACCACCTGTTTCAAATACATAGTCAAACAGGACTGGACAGTGGTCACAGGCTGGCAGCGGAGCTTCAATGCACACGTCGCCGATACGATCATGGTCAGTGGTGAGAAGAAGATCCAGTGTGTTCCCTGATCTAGGGTACGTAGGTTGCGTGACCCACTGTATCAGGCCACAACTCCTGAAAAGCTCTAAGAAAGACCCAGATAAGGAAGATTCCCTGTGGAGAGAGATGGATGTCGCATTATTCCAATTGATATCTGGGAGGTTGAAGTCTCCCACGATAATAACCTCTCTGTCACAGACCAACAATTTGAGGACATCTATCAGGGCAACATTTTGCGCGTCATTGTACGATGGAGGTCTGTACACGATCACTATGTAGACATTAAAATCTGAAAGATGGAAGCTTAAGACATTATCATAGGGGGTAACCACCTGGTCCACCATTAAGTTCCTGCGAACAAAAGCACACACACCATGTTTGGACACTGTACCCTTGGTGTCGTGCCTGATGATTTCATAGCCAGGTATGGAGACAAAGGAGCTTTGGGACAGGGAGGTGAGATGGGATTCAGTGATAGCAATAATACTAAGTTGATGCTTGGAAATGAATTGGGAAAGGATGCCAAGTTTGCTAGGTAGACCATTCAAGTTCACCTGGCAACATCTGACAACAGAAAACACAGTCTTAGGAGACATAACATTTAGTTTTGCGTCTCATCCCTGTCGGAGTGAGGTGGGTCTGAAGATGGTGCGGGGCCCTGAGGGTTGCCTCCGCTGGGTGGCGTCGCGGTACCTCCGTCAGCTGCCTGTGGGAGTTGGTCAGGTGACCAGACCGTCTTGGGAACGGTCTCTCTGTTTGGGGGAGGTTCCGCAGCAGCAGCACTCCCAGGTTGTTTGCTGGCAGCATCCGCCTCCCGCCTCAGCCTGAGTTCACCTCTCTGCGCAAAGGTGAGATCTCTCCTAATGTAAACATGTTTGTACTCGGTATGTCTGAGTTCCTTAGCCTGATCTAGAACTAGTTTCCTCTCTGCTGGGTTAGGGATCTTTGCACGACAGATGCCGGAATGACCTGGGATGATCACAACATCAGATAACACCACTCTGGCCCCCATCTTCCTTTGGGAGATTTCGCAGAACTCATCCACAACCCCGCCAGGAGTAGTAGCTTTCAAACCACGAACAATGATAGAGTCTCGACGCTTGTCCCTCTCATGCATCTCTCTCAGCTCCTTACGAACAATGAGTCTGTACTGGTCAAGTGAAGAAGATGATGGTCCATCAAGATTGGAGTCTCGTCCAGGGGGCGGGATGTTATGGTTCAGTTGGGCCAGAGGTGGGAATGATCCCAGGTTCAGTGAAGGAGCTGGGGGGCCACAGCTTGGGTTGGGTTGGGTTGGGTTGTTGCGAGACTCTCTCTCAGCGGAGAGGGTGCGGACCTCCGCAGAGAGGGATGAGAGGACAGACGTCATCCCACGCAGCTGTTGAAATAGCTGCTGAAGTGTATCAGCCATAAATTTGTCAGCTCGGGCAGAGGGGGAACCACCCGAGCCCTGGCCTGCGGTGGATGCTCGGGTGACTCTACACTTCATGCACATGTAGTTAATACCTTCACCACTGTACTCAAGTATAACATCGATTACCTTCTGGGGCAGGCCCGAGCACATCTCTGTAGCGTGTAGCCACACCTCACATTTGTCACAGCCAATGCTGTTGTCTCCAACCAGCAGATTGCAAGTACCACAGAGATCGGGTGCGGCAGTAGCACCACCAGATGCGCTAGGGGTGCAGAGATCAGGAGAGGGGGCAGCGCCAGTAACACCACCACCAGAGGTGGATGCCACGGCAGCCACACTGTTCTTTTTAGCATTTTTGAGTTGGCTTCGGGTTGGCATGGCTATTGTTATGACTCAACACTTACATGCAGGGCAGCCGTCACACAACATGCAGAGCAGACATCACACAACGGAAAGCAATCAAGTCAGTGCAACAGATATGCAAGAATTGATTAAATGAAATAAATAAATACTAGCAGCACTTGATAGGAATTAACAAAGATAGATGCAAATAGATGCCTAAACAAACACTATCACAGTAGTGGGTACCTAATTAATCCAAATCAGAATAAGAGAAATGAGCACACAAAGGCAAGGACAAGGAACATAGAGTGATGCAGCATGCAAGCGTGCAAGCTGGGCCTGGGCAAGCGGTTTGTGGCAGGACAGACAGACCATGCAGTGGTACTTCCAAACCAGGTTTAGTGTGCAGAGTTGGTCCGCAGCTCCCAGGCTCCCGGGCGTTATCCAGTAAGTATGTGTGCTCAGGATTCAGACCTCTGACATGCATCACTTTGCACTTCGACACATTGAAGGGCAACAGCCACTTCTTAGACCAGTTGACCAGAGCGTTGATGTCAGCTTGAAGGCCGGCAGGGTCACCTGTCACACGACGGTAGAGTTTTGTGTCGTCTGCAAACAGCTTGACACAGCTCGACACTCGCTGGGGCATGTCATTGACGAAAATCGTAAAGAGGGCGGGACCAAGGACCGATTCCTGGGGGATACCGCTGGTGGCGGGGACCCAGCCAGACCTCGATCCCTGCAGCACAACCCTCTGAGTACGACCAACAAGGAAAGCCTCAATCCAACTCAGCAGCTTCCCCCCGACTCCATAGGCGCGCAGCTTACTGAGGAGTCGCTGATGCGGCACCGAGTCGAAGGCTTTGGCGAAGTCGAGGTATACGACATCAACTGGGTCACCATCTTCCAATGCAGCACTCCAATCTTCCATCACCTCCAGTAGCTGACTGGAACATGATCTCCTCGGGAGAAATCCGTGCTGAGCCGCATGCAGCAGGCCACCGTCCGTGAAGTGTTGAAGAAGATGGTCGCGGATGATGGACTCGAGCACCTTTGACGGAATGGACGTAAGGCTCACTGGTCGGTAGCTCGCGGGGTTTCTGCGGTCGCCTTTCTTGTATATGGGGACTACTTCACCAATCCTCCAATCAGAGGGGAGACTTCCTGCTTCCAGTGATTTTGCAAATAGCAAACTCAAGGGCACGGACAGAGGACGTGCAGACTCGCGGAGCAATCGGGGATGAATAGCATCCGCCCTTGGCGAGCTAGTTGGCTTCCGCCGCCAGCTTAGCCTCAACTTTCTGTGGCGATACATCCACGTCAGCCAGTGGGGGTCCCTGGAAGTTGCATGGCAGAGCTGTGGGAGGCTCAGCTCCCTCTGAGGTGTAGACGCTGGAGAAGAACCTGCTTAGCACTTCAGCTTTTGCTCGGTTGCTGCCTGCTGGACACAAGCTCACCGTTTTCATCCATCAGGTCTTCAACACGGCACCTGGTACGCAGCCTGGAGTTGGCGTACCTCCAAAATGCTTTGGGGTTCTGTCTGAGGTTCGACGCCAGCTTTGACTCGTGGTTGGTCCCTTCGAAGTTTTCTCGTCAGGCCCGAAGCTGATTTCTGCACCTCACGAACTGGGCATGATCCACGTTGTCGAGAGTTTGACGGTAGACGCCCCACAGCACCTGCTTCCTCTTTCTCAGCTGCATCGCCGCCCGATTCATGTATAGGTTCTTCCTGGAGTGGGCGCTTCTCTTGACCGAACAGTCTTCTACGTCTCCGGTGATTCGCGACTTGAACGATTCGTATGCTTCTTCCAGGTCCAAGTTTCTGATATCGTCCCAGTGAATCTAATGCCCTGGCTCCACTATGCGATTTTCCGTGTGATTTTGTGATAATGCAAGAATGTAAATCATGCAATATTGCTCACCCCTTATCGCAAATTCACAAAATCACATGGAAAATCGCACAGTGGAGCCTGGACTTAACATTTTCATGCAGTTAACTGCAACATCTTAACTTCAAATGCTGGTAAGATTGAAGCTAAAACACCTCTCGGACAGTAGGTATATACCCGTGCAGTTATTCATCACTGATTGTTGTCTACCTATACTTGGTCTTGAGGCAGTCTGCAAAGTATGGCAATTTCGACGAGATCTTGTCGATGCTGACTTGTTTGGCTGGTGCGGATTCGGTGCGGTGCAGATTTTGGCTTGGTGAGGTGCAGATTTAGTGTAGTGTGGTACAGACCACACTATCTGTAAGAATCTTGGTACATACATAACAGACCAGATGAGATATGTGGTGGCGTCGCCCGTTAATGTTAACAGGACTCCCTCCGCCGGTAGAAATCCCCCTGCTTTGGCAGCATTGTTACCGTGCCCGCGTAGATGGCAGCACGTGGGGAGAGGGAAGTCGCGCGCCGCCCCCGGCACGGTCCGGGTAGGATCCGTGTAAACGTGTGATCGTGGATTGCGAAGCCAAGAATAAACCTGCCCAAGAACCGCATAGTCTCGCCAGTCGGCTCACGATACAACACTTGGCGACAAGGACTGAGATTTCGGACTGGCGAGCAGCGGACGCACTCCGAGACACGCTGGGGATCGCGATCCGGTGCGTGGGAGGCCTGATTTGGCCTGGAGCGGAGTGGCGTGGCGGTATTGGCAAGTTGAAGTTCCGAACAGTTTCGTGTCCTGCGTGTACCGAATTGCTCGCACCAGTGTGGCCATAGGGCGCCGGCGTGATTTTGCTGGATATTTTCGCTCGCGCGGCGGGACGGCGCGGCGGCCATCTTTGCATCCCGCCACGCGTGCGGCGGCGCGGCGGTGAGTGTGACGTCACGCGAGCTTCGGCGGTCTGCCGCAAGGGGGCAGCCCACGGCGGCGGGGCGCGGGGCCGCCAGTCGCCGGGTGTCGGCGGAGCGGTGCGGAAGTGCGAGGAAGTGCTGCGGCTCGTGCTGTTAACGGAGCGGCCGGCGGGCCGTGACCGGTGTGCGGAGGGTGGAACGCCCTCTTTGGATGCGGCAAGACACCACACTGGGGCCGGTCAGGTGTCGTCGATCCCCACCCACGCGAGGGTGTTGGTAGATTGACTTCACTGCCCCTGGATGCAGCAAGTAACTTCTTCCGCGTGACTGGCTGCCGTGTGGCCAGCGAGCGGCCGGGCAGTCCGTACGAGTGAGCGGTGGTGTGGCGGTCGGCGCCAGTGAGGTGATAGCCTGTGCGCGTGACCGACCTGTGGCTGCTGTGAGTGTGGTGTGCAGGCAATTGTCATGGAGGCCCAAGGGATGGCCTTCCCGCCTGTAGCGCGCTATTCCCCGGGCGGGGATTTTGGGAGGTGGCTGAGGGAGGTGGACAGGTACATGGCCGCCGTCGGCATTCAGGATTCAAACCGCAAGAGTGCCGTCCTCCTGCATCTGATCGGGCCAGACGTCGCCGACCTCGTGGACACCCTGCCGGAGGAGACCGACGCGACGGCGGAGGCCGACGACTACGACAAACTGAAGAAGAAGCTGACAGCTTACCTGTCCCCAGTAAGGAACACCGTGGCAGAGCGTTCCGCGTTCCACCAAATGCGGATGGAGGCATCGGAGGACCTAGAGCACTTTCTGGGGCGCCTCCGTGCTCAAATCGCGCTGTGCAGCTACCCCGCCACGGAAACGGACACAGAACTGAGGGATCAGTGCGTGCTGGGCTGCCGAGCGGGTCTCCAAGAGAAGCTTGTCCAGTTGGCGGCCTCTAAGGGGGACAAACTCACACTGGAGGAGGTCCGGCAGGCGGGCCGTGCCCACCGCGACCTCCAGCAGCTCGGCGCCCAGCTGGCTGCCACGCGCGTAACGGAGAGGCCAGCCGCCGTGGGCGACCAGCCGCCCTATCCGCCAGAGCCGCACTCCGTGGACGCGGTGGGCGGGCGGCCGGACATTGGCCGGGCAGCGGCGCCGCGCGGACGGCGAGCGGTCCGCTGTTATCACTGCGGAACGCTGGGACACCTGCGCCGCGACTGTCCTGCGCGACAGGACCAGCAGCAGCAGCAGCATCGGCCGGCAACAGGCAGGGGGCGCCCTGCCCAGCAGCAGCAGCCGCGGCGGCCGCGCGGCCGGGAGCGCGACGGCGGAACGGCTGACGGAGGCGGCGCCGACGGCAGGCGTCCAGAGACGCGGCGGTGCTTCAAGTGTAACAAGGTCGGACACCTGCGGCACCAGTGCCCTCAGAAGGACGATACAGACATGTGGGGCATCGATTTCGGCTTCGGGAGCATCAACTCGGTAAACCTGACGCAGGCAGTTACAGTCACCGTGCCGGTCAACGGGGTAAAAATCAACATGCTGGTGGACAGCGGCAGCCCCGTAACCGCAGTGGGGCGTGACACGCTCATCCCTGGTCTGCAGCTGAGGCCCAGCCCACTGCACCTCACCTCATTCACCGGTCACGTCATCCCTCTGATCGGTGAAGGTCAGGTGTCGGTGAGGTTCCGGGGGCGTGATCACCGTTTGCGACTGGTGGTGGTCGACCTGCCCGGCGAGAGACGACTGCTGGGCCGCGACTGGATGTCGGCCCTGAACATCAGCGCGAGTGGCGAGGCTGCAGTACTGACCGTCGGACCGGGCGGCGTGGCCGCAGATCTGCAAGCGGTCTGTGATCGGCACGCGCCGGTGTTCGATGGCCGCCCGGGGCGGATCAAAGGGACCAAGGCGCACCTGGTCCTCAAACCCGACGCGCAGCCTGTGTCGAGGCCGGTACGTCTGCCTCCCTACGCGCTCAAACCAGCCGTGGAGCGGGAGCTGGACCGGTGGGTGGAAGCCGGTATAGCGGAGAAAATCGGACCAAACGACGCCCTGGGATGGGGCACTCCGCTGGTGACAGTCCCGCGTGCCGATGGAGGCATACGTTTGTGCGGAGACTACCGCCTGACGGTAAATCCGCAACTGCAGATGGCCACGCACCCGACGCCAACGCCGGAGGACATCTTCGCGAACGTCAGAGGACAGCAGTTCTGTAAACTCGACCTTAAGGACGCGTTCCTACAGCTGGAGCTCGGAGAGGAGTCACGTGACATGACGACCGTGGTCACACACCGAGGAAGGTACCGAATGCTCGCTCTGCCGTTCGGGATCTCGGCGTGCAGCTCAATTTTCCAATCAGCGATCGACCATATCCTGGATGGAATTGACGGCTGCGTGGCGTACCAGGACGATCTGCTCATCGCAGGCGCCGACCGGAAGGAGCTGGCGCAGCGGCTCGACCGAGTGCTGGCTCGCCTGGAGCAGCACGGGGTCAAACTGAAGCGAGAAAAGTGCCGCCTGGGACTCGATGAAGTGCAGTATCTCGGCTGGTGTATATCGGCGAACGGACTGCGGCCGGTGAAGGACAAGGTCCAAGCCGTGCTGGACATGCCGGACCCCAAGGACGTCAAGGCGCTGCGCAGCATCCTGGGTAGTATCACCTACTATCAGCGGCTGCTACCCAACCTGTCGACGCTGCTGGCGCCGCTCTACCGCCTGCTGCAGAAAGGGGTGCCGTGGGAATGGAGCAGCGAATGTCGACACGCGCTGACTCAGGTCAGACAGCTCCTGGCAGGAGACACGGTACTCAAGCGGTACGAGCCGGAGGCGCCGCTCAAGTTGGTAACGGACAGCAGCGAGGTCGGAGTGGGAGCAGTACTGACACAGCCCGACGGCGAAGGACTGGAGCGCCCAATAATGTACGCCTCCCGCACACTCACCGGCACCGAGAGGAAGTACCCGATGGTGGAAAAGGAGGCTCTGGCAGTGTCATTCGCCGTCAAACGGTTCGGGCAGTTCCTCTATGGCCGACGATGGACTCTCGTCACGGATAACAGAGCGCTGTCGCGTATCCTCTGTCCCGAACGCGAGCTGCCGACCCTCGCTGCGGCGAGACTACAGAGGTACGCACTGCAGCTCGCAGCCTTCACGTACGACGTCGAGCTGAGACCTTCGGAGAACATGCATCTGGCTGACAGCCTGTCCCGCATGGCGGTGCCGGGGCGCCCGCTACGTCCATCAGAAGACATGCACCTGGCGGACAGTCTGTCTCGTATGGCAGTGCCAGGCGGAGAGGTCGAGCCAGCGGACGCGGAGGACGACACCAGCGGCGGCTCGTATCTGCTGTTCATGGACGGTGTAGCTCCAGTTCTGACGGCCAAACAACTCGCGGCGGCGACACGCCGCGATCGGGTACTGTCGCGCGTCCTGACGTACGTGCACAGTGGGTGGCCCGGACAGGTGGAGCAGGAGCTGGCCCCGTTCCGTCAGAGGCGGGATGAGCTCTCCACGGACCTGGGATGTCTGCTCTGGGGTGGCAGGACGGTGGTTCCCCACTGCCTTCGGCAACAGGTGCTGGCAGAGCTGCACCAAGGTCACCTGGGCAGCGCCAAAATGAAAGGTGTGGCGCGCCGATACGTATGGTGGCCGGGCATGGACGCCGAGCTGGAGGCCCTGGCGCGTGACTGCGCGGCTTGCATGGAAAAGCGCGGGGCACCACCGCGTGCTGAACTTCACCCTTGGGAACCGACGGACAGCTGCTGGTTCAGGGTTCACATCGACTTCGCTGGACCTTTCCAGGGCTCTTTCTTTCTGATAGTGTATGACAGCTACTCGCGCTGGGTGGAGGCAGTGCCGATGCGTGAGACCAGCACGGAAAGCACTGTGCGTGTTCTGCGCGAAATGTTCGCCAGGTTTGGATTGCCGGTCCAGGTGGTCAGCGACAATGGACCCCAGCTGACCGCCACTGCGTTCTCCCAGTTCCTGAACTCGAATGGGATTCGGCACATCAGGACAGCGCCGTGGCATCCAAGTAGCAACGGGGCGGCGGAGCGCGCAGTGCAAACCGTAAAGAATGGCTTGAAAGCTGCACTCAAGGACGGAGGAACGCTTTCTCAGCGCCTACAGCGGTTCTTGCTGGCATACCGGGTGGCGCCACACGCGACCACGGGGAGGTCTCCAGCGGAAATGATGCTGGGACGGAACGTGCGAACCAACCTGGACCTCCTAAAGCCGGATGTGGACGTGCGGCAGCGCGAGGAAAAACTTCGCCAGTGGCAGGCCGGTAGGCCAGGTCACAACAGGCAGTTCTCGATCGGAGACCACGTCTGGACACGGGCCTACGGTGGACCGTCCAAGTGGCGGCGGGGCGTCATCACCGCCCGGACGGGCCCGCTGTCGTTCGAAGTGGACGTGGGGAGCGCGATCTGGTCCCGACACGCCGATCAGCTCCGTCATGCTGGCGCGCCCCGCGACCCCGACACGCCTGCCGAGCCCAGTGCAGTCCCCGGACCCGGCGCAGTCGGCCGGCCGGGCGCGACTCACGGCGACGGCATCGTCAGCGGACGCGGCGCGGCCAGCGGGCCTGACGCTGTCGGTGGTACCGGTCAGCGGCAGCGGTTCGGGAGCGGCCAGGAGCCCGGACACGGTCCCGGTCAGCAGCGTCACGAGCAGCGGCCCGGTACCGGGGCGGCCGGCGGCTCAGGTGCGGCCAGCAGCCCGGACACGGGCACGGTCCCGGTCAGCAGCGGTACTGGCAGCGACCCGGTACCGGCCAGCGGCACCTGCACACCCGGCCGATCTCCTGCAGACGGTAGACCCGGTACGGACGCCGGCAGCAGCGCCGACACCACTGGTCGGCCAGAAACAGACGGGTCGCCAGACTCGCCCAGAGTCGGCGAGGACAGAGACAGACAGCTGGGAACGGGAAACAGCGCCAGCGCGGCGGATCAGCCGGTAACTGCTGGCACAAAAGCAGTGAACGCCGGAGCTGGGACCAGCACACGCGGCGGCCGCCGGCCCGGCAGGCGCCGGAAAGCAACCCGCCGACTTATAACGGAACTGTGATTGAAACGAACAGGTCGTATACTGTGAGCCAATCTTTGTGTGATTCTCTGTAACCTTACCGCCACGAATAAGTGAGGGGCAGCGACCTTTTGTTCCCACACCATGACTCCCCGGTGTCTTGAGAAGCTGGACTTGTGTTTTTTTTTTATCGTCGTTGCACTCTGATATGTTCGTTACCTCTTCGCATGGTACCGTGCGTTCGATTTTAAGGAGGGCGATGCGTCGGGGAAATTGACGTAAAGCAGCTGTTTGTAGAGGTCGATGTTTGGATCTTTTTTTTGGTTGTGTTTTTGTACGCCGGTGGGATTAACGCGTTGTTTAGTTACAAGCCCGAACGCTGATGTGGTTACACCCATTTTAATTAAGGAGGGTAAGGTGTGGTGGCGTCGCCCGTTAATGTTAACAGGACTCCCTCCGCCGGTAGAAATCCCCCTGCTTTGGCAGCATTGTTACCGTGCCCGCGTAGATGGCAGCACGTGGGGAGAGGGAAGTCGCGCGCCGCCCCCGGCACGGTCCGGGTAGGATCCGTGTAAACGTGTGATCGTGGATTGCGAAGCCAAGAATAAACCTGCCCAAGAACCGCATAGTCTCGCCAGTCGGCTCACGATACAACAAGATAGATCAGGAAAATTGAAGAAAAAACGTTGTTAGAGCTTCGACGTGTTATTCAGTGTGCTCTTAGGTCTAATTGACTGCGCAGTGGTCAGAACGGACTATGCCAGCGCTGGTGGTCCCATCAATCACGTGGGTCGCCCGCAAGTCCGCACTCTTCGCACTGTTACAACACGAAACGCACCGCACGGCTCTGTGAGGCGCCGGCGGTAGAGTGAGAGAGATGAGCAGGGCGATGGGAGGGACTCGAGATGTGCGCGGCCGATGGCAGGGCTACAGCACCGCTCCACCGCTTCAAGCGGTCAAAAATGCGAACGATTAATTGGGTATGTTCGACGCAGCTAATAAGTTGCATCGAAAGAATCTGAGGTTGCATTCCGTAGCATTCGTAAACGAGATGTGCTCAGCTCATGTGAGAGTTTGGCGTTGTCCCTCGGTGGTAGGGCGAAATGCACATGGCTGATGGCAGGCCTTGGGTGAGGACCACCAGTTTGCCGCGGCTAAGTAGTCAAATCCGCTGTGAATGACTTGCCGTCGTGCCGATCAGATTTGTTGTTCGATACAACTGTTGACCCAAACGAAAGAAGCTGAAAATGCATGCATGAGCAGAGATTATCTCACATTTAGCCGCTCATATCTTTACTTTTTATCACTGGGTAAAGCTCCGCAACCTAGCGAGTGTTCTGGCTTGGGGATTGGGAATGGTGAGCATTTTGGAGTTGCAAAAATTGCATGAGGTGTGCCAGAAACAGACGACACATTCTACTACGATATGATGCGAAAAATCACCCCTGGAGCTTTCTGTTTGGTTAGAAATGGGGTCGTTTTGAAAACGAAAATGGTGTTTGGGATGTCGGCGCCAACCTTCGTAAAGGACTTTGCTCTAGCTAATGCCTAAAGAATACTCTTGAATGGTGCCTCACTGCCTATGCAAGCTGTTGGCTGTAAAGGAGAAGATCTTGCCGTGGAGCTCGTCCAACCAAAGTCCGACGCAGAAACTGCTGGAGATTTCCGTGCAGGAGCTTGAAAGCAAGTGACCTTTTATCAGCCTTCGACAGCTGACGGAACGACTAAAATCGGTATGGGCAAATATTTTTGGAGCAACAGCGAAGGGTTTGGTTTACATTCAACATTCCAAATGAGCTATCAAAATATATTTTTTTGTGTACTCTACACAAAACCATCAAAACCTAAGATTTTTGCTGGTTTTCATGTTTTATTGGTATGGGAAATATTTCAACGAACTTACGGGACACCCTGTACGGTGCTGTCCACATCAATGACACCGGTCGTTTCAGTGCGCGATAGCAGGCGATCCGTCTATCCATCGCTCGTCTGTGTCGCCGCAGGCCGGCTCGGCTGCCTGACCTTGCGCCGGAGGCTGCCTCTCCCATGTTTACGTCATGTATGTGTCTCTGTCTGTTTGCAGATAGTCGGCGTGCGCGGCCCAGCCGGGTGGCCTGCTGAGGCCGACGGACAACAGAATGGTGATCGAAGTGGCCGCCGAGGGCAACGCCACGGCGCACTGTGGTCCGAACGCGCTGACGGACAGTTTCGGCTGGTTCATTCAGTTCCTGCTCGCCGGACTGGCATTCGCCTCTCTGATAAGTGAGTTAACTCGACATGGCGTGGTTTTCACACTTCACGGGCAGCTGTGGTTTGTAGGCTGATGTGGCATTCACGTGTGGGCGGCAGTGTGTAAAGGCATGAGACCGCGGAGGCCGTACAAAATGCATCAATCAGCTACTGTGTAGAAGCCCTTCGTGACGGCCCCGGGTGACATAGAAAGTGTCCTTCTGCTGCTCTGATGGATTAACCGAGTGGGTATGTTATATGTGTTGCTATCAACTTTGTACGCTTCAGTCATATTTGATTGTTCAAGATCGGGATTCTGTAGCGAACCGAAGCGCAATGACCGGTACCACGCAGTCTGTCCCCCCCCCCCCCCCCCCACCGAAACGGAGTCGGCTGCGACTCGGTCTGTTTGTTTTCACAGCCTCCATTCATTGAATGACCTCGGCTCTCTATCAGACTGCAGTGCAGACAGTGCCGATTTTGTGCCCCGCCGACACACCGACATCAGGCACACCCTGCCTTATATGCGAAAATATTCAATAAAATCGAGCAAACAACAAACAACAACCCTCCGTAATTCTCTGACCTTACCGTGTTCTTCTCCTCAGTCAAAAGGTTCTGCGAGCCGAAAACGGAGCGCCGCTCGTGGCTAATATGGTTCTACGACACCTCCAAGCAGGGTGTGGGCGCGTGCGTGGTACACTTTGCCAACGTGTACCTGGCGAGCACGTACACCGGTGACCCGTGTACCTGGTGAGAATGGCGTGTGTGAGAGTATAGTGAGGGGGGAGTGATAATGGTGGCTGATCCGGTTAGACTCTGAGGCAATATGTTGCATGCAATGTAGTATGCAATCCCTATGACATCGTGGGAATAAATGGAGATGAGTTAGCTATGGTCCCAGATACGCTCAGAGTGTGTATTTGCATCTGTCAAAACCGTGCGTTCTGTATGCTGAGATTGTTGTCTCCTTAACATCGGTCAATGCTGTCATTCTTAGATACCGTTGTTCAACGTAGGTCGTAGAGTCGATCGAATCAACGCAGATTTATAATGTAAGTAGTTGTGTCTTCTTTATGGCTGGCCGGGCTGATAAAGATGTACTGCATTGTCGTTTCAGGTACATCATCAACTTTTTGTTGGACTCGACGTTTGGTCTCATCGTGATATTCATCTGTGTACGGATTTGCCAACACTTGGCCGTTGAAAGGGACTGGCCAAGTATAAACTTCGGCGAATATGGTAAGAATAGAGCGGCAGTTAGGATGTGTTGTGGCGCTTCGCGACGTGTAGCGTGTTGCGTCTTTCTATCGCTCGTCATATTTATCTACCCACTTACAAATCACCCTAATCTTTCGTTAAGAGCATTTTCTTGCGCCATCTACCTGCTTGTTTTCGAGAACGCTTTATAGGTAAATGGTCTGTTGTTTGAAGTATAAGATATAATGATGCTGAGAATCCATCCCACGGTGCCTGTTGTCGCCCTTTTCAAGCACCTGCGTTTCTTTCTTCATGTTTTTTTTTTTTGTCCGATCCAACAGTAATGTGGACTCGTCCCTTGGTCGGACTAACCTACCGCCACCAATTCTGACCGTTCGTTCTCATCCCATTGTGTTTCGCCTCTCATATCTGTTCGTTCCGTCGAGTCGTCTCGCCTTACGGTCACCACCTTGTTATCTCTCTGTCCCTCCATCCCTCCCTCCCTCTGACCTCCCGTCTACCCCATCCCACTCTGCCCAGGCACGCCGCCACTGGCCCAGGCCTGGCTGGTGCAGTCGGTCGTCTACGTCGGCATCATGATCGTCGAGAAGCTGCTGGTCTCGGCGCTGATCCAGCTGGATATCTGGGACACGGTCAGCAGGATCATCCTGGCGCCGGTCACCAACCCGCGCCTCGAGCTGGCACTCGTTGTCCTCGTGGTGCCCTTCTTCGTGAACGTGAGTGTGTACTGTGTAGTGGCGGACGGAACGGGGAGGGTGGAGTGGGACGGTTGGGGCTGGTGTTGACTGTTTGATTGTTGACTTAGCCAGTTTTTTTTTAACCACGGTTGAGTCATTGACGTTTCGAGGATATTTGTTGTCAAAGGTCGTCTCATCGCATCGCTACAACTGAAATACACTATTTCTACACACTATTTTTCACTACACTATTTCGGGACGTGATTGTAGTATTGATTTTACCACGCATGATGTAAAATGTTGTCGACAATGATTTGTGCTAGCAGGATTGGCCCCAGCCATGGGGCCATTTCGCATTTATACGGTTTCTTTTTACTCTTGTTTTGTTTTGTTTGGGACCTCGCAGGACACATCTCGACTATGGTGTTTGCTTTTCAGATGTTGATGTTCTGGATCACGGATAATTTCCTGATGCGGCGACACGAGTCGCTAGAGGTACGCTCACCGCCGTCGCGCGGCCGCTACTGCCCTTATCAGGACCGTGGCGATGACGACGAACAAGTGCTGCTCATCGACGACGGACGTGAGAACCTGCAGCAGCGCCACCCGAGCGCCGGCTCCACCGTCACCTAACGGAACTTATAGTACCCGGTCGGTGCGCCAGGCGGCAGCACCGTCGGCCCGCGCCCGTGCTCACATAACGTACGGACGTCTTTCAATGAAACTATATTTTTGGCGAAGCTTGTGGGCAGGTATATCGTTTGCTGCTCTTGGTGCAGTGAGCGATAAACATGTGGCTTGCTAAAAGATGCGATGGTATTAGCGCAAGCATCTTGGATAACCCGAGCGGGCTGCTTGTGCGACGAAATTGCTATTTTAGTATCTAACGTAGCTCATGTGTATGTAGTTATATTCGCTCTTGACTACTTAGTCATTCTTGGAGCAACTAAGTGTCTTCTTTCAGTGCTCATTTTGAAGACAGTGTTGGGGACATTTTTCATTAATGGTAGGTCATGAACTTGAGCCATTGAACCTATTTTTCCATCTCCCCTTCCAACTTTATCGAAGATGCATAATTATATTTTCTTTCGAAGAGATATCCTTGGGTCTCCTCACTATAAGCAATCAGCATTGATCTGAGCGAGTCCTGTGGGTGATTCCATTGATGTAACCAAGTATTATGACCGGACAGCTATGGGTGGTATATGTAGGCGGGCAGCAAAGAATCCGGGCAGGCCAACTACTTAGGACTAACACGAATACCAAGGTCTCCCACTGACAGAAGCAGACTGGCCTCCTTGCGTGGCGACACTCGTGAGGAGCGGCTGCTCGGCGCCCCACAGGGTGATAGGAGCATAGCGCGACTGTTTTCTGTAGTCTGATGCGTATAATCACCGTGTCAAATGTCTCTTGAGCACTGAACATGTGTGTATAACGTCAGACGTAGGATAATCCGTGATTGTGGGCGTGCTCTGAAGCCTGCGCCGTGAGTCTTTCTCGCGCCGTGAATGCGTGCGACGGGCTGCGTCGGTCCGAGAAGCGGGGTGACCGGCGCGGTCGCAGTGCCTCTCTTGGAACTCTCGTAGAGAGTTAGCGCCGCCTGCTTGGGTGCCTCTAGTGGGTGGACAGTGGACACACCACTCGCGCGTGATGGCAGTGGCACCCGTCTTTTTCGGAACTTCAGCGTGTCTCCGGGTTTCCCTGTCTTCAGCTCGCCCTAATTACTCCGCTGATATTTGGTTTCTTGCTGTTGTCGTTTCATATCGAACCGATTATACCGGGGATCCCACTCGCTGCAAATGGTGGTCGAGGTACACTGTAAATGCCTACTTATGTATCTTGGGATGTGACCTTTTCTTCTCGCAAGCAAGCGGTTAATTGGAACTAGGGCAGATGACTGGCAAACCATTCACGTTCATCCTTCATCTATGTCTATGTATCGTAAGCTAAATGCTTTTCCTGTCTCCGCCCATTAACGTTGTGACTTTTGTGACTGTCGAACTATCATTGCGTATTGTTAATCGGTTATTGGTATATGTCCAATATGAACTGATGGACAGATTTGTTAGTCATTACGTTCTGTAACCGTGGGGATATACTTTGATCGCGGTAGGATCATTAGTAATAGTCGCTCATGAGTTATGTATTTGGGCTGGGCTGGATGCACGCATTATTTAATGTGCAGATGATTATAGTCGCATAGCTGATGACAATCATACGTTTGCAGCTGCCTTCGCATAGCGGAATGGATGTTCTGTGAATCTCTAAATTCGGTACGCTAATGGCGAAAAAATATTTATTGATATTCTAGTCCAATATCTCTGTGAAGTCAGCCGTACGCGTCCTGAATCTGTACCTGCTAGTTCACTCTGCATTATCTTGACTGCGTATGATTAATTAATTAGCAATAAGTCGACAGGTGATTTTCACGACTCACTCGTTTGTAGCGTAATGGTCGAGACGCTTATTGATATTTCCGGAAATGTGAATAACTATCGTCATCGTACGACTATGGGCTGTTGGATGTGGCGTATCTTGGGTAACCGATCGTTTTCTGAGACGTCGGGCATCGATAATCGTTTACCTGGGATGTGAGTATTCGATACCGAACATGTTGAATGCGATCGCTGTCACTGTCATCTATGTACCCTGTGACGATCCAAACTTCTGAGAACATAATGGCGCCATGTTCACCCCTGTATCAGCTGTGTACATACTGCATGGAAATGTCAATACAGGTACGATCTGAACGGATGAGTGCTACCATTTTTCACGATGTGGCTTTGAGCGGTGTAGCTATTTTGGGCGGACGGTTCGTGGTTCGTGGTTTCCTGACGAATGCGGCTCGCTCGCTGGTCAGCACTCGTTTGAGACGAGATATCATCCATTCTTCTGCGTTCATCTTGTATCTCTGACAAAGCTCGGCGCCGAAAATGGGGACATGGAAATCCATGCATACTCGTCGACTTAGGCGCTTGGCGTCGGCACGCTGCTAAATCCCATAAAAATCCCGGTGTGATCCCATTGGTCGTCTCAATGCAGTGCGCACTGGTGGGCTACACTACACCCCAATCAGATCACTGCGGTCTGGCCGGGAGTGTTGCGGGGCTGGTGCAGCGGGCGGGCGGTTAGTGCGGGTTCAGCTGTCTGGGATGTGCACGGGGGCGGTAGCTCTCACGGGCCCCGGCACACCATCGGGTACATTCCGACCCCATTCTCCCAGAGCGGTGAAGGCTGAATGTTGACGCGAGTCGAGTGGAATTTAGAAGAATACAACTGCATTCTATCGGGATCCAGGAGTCCCAGAATGCCGGGACCGCAGACCGGTGAAGGCATATGCCACAATGCCGCGGTATGTACCACCGGTTACAATTTTTGGTTATTACGTTACACGTCAGGCTTTGTCTGGCCGCGTGATTTTAATTACGATAATAAACTGGATGGAAAATCACGCTGAAGGCACGCGAATGGCTTGACCTAATACTTTCGCCTCTTACTCTTTGTCCATGAACAACGGGTCTGAATCTTTTCTTTTTAATTACCACAGAGCACCTCACAACAAACTGTAACACTAATGTTGCGTGGCATTGATGGAAGCATCTAACGTTTATACATCAGGTAATTGGCAAATAGCACACAACTTCCAGTTCTCACGGTCTTGCGGCAATTCCATAATACCGCGTGCAATGCATAATCACACACACACACAGCCTACTTTCACCGGGTCTTCCCATGCATCGCGTTTTCGGAGCGTATGCTTCAATTCGTCAGAGTGACGAGAATGAGCGTGTGACTACTGACTAGAGCGGTTTAAATCAAAATGCCTAAATGGCGAAATATACAGCGAAAGACAGCATCATTTCACGTAACACGAAACCGTTCCAGCAGATCGAAAGAAGACTGTGGGAAGATGCCCGGTCTACTTGGGCGAACAACAAACATCAAACATCAACAGTCACAAACAACAAGTAACAACAACAGCGAGATCACAACATTGAGTTTGGTGTTGGACGGAAGCAGTTTCCACATTTGTACTATGCAGTTTTGTGCACTAAGAGCTGTAGCTATTACACAGCCCGATTAGAAATTCGCCACGATTATACGTCAACTATGCATAGAAGTAGGCATCACAAAGGTGTTCAGCCGGGGTTCAGAAATCTTACATGAACCTGAAGCATGTAGCTCACATCACCTACGAGAAGTCCAGCTCTGTGGGATCACCAGACCTGCCACCCTCGATGGTCGAGCAGCTATGTCCCGATTTTGAGTCGTGTCCCGGCCAGAGGCGACGCTCTGGCTGGGTGCAGTGTTGCCGACTACAGCAAGGCGGTCGGGTCCAGAACTGCTCTATGTTGGCTGTACTTACTGAAGTCCGCTGTAAGCTCGCTGCTGTCACTGGTCTGAGCCGCATGACGGTTATAGTCGCCCGATTGGGACGTGTGGTGACTATAGTCGCTAAACTGGGACGTCTGACGGTCATCCTCGCCGGAGACAGTCGCGCGGCAGTTATAGTCGCCAGAGGCAGCTGTGTGACGGATGTAGTCGCCGGTGAGGGGTGTGTCCAGCGCTGCGCTGCGGGTACTGTAAGGACCGGAGTCGACCCGGGGACGGCTGTACTGCCGGCACTCGGCCGTCTCCAGGACCGTGCCGCGCCAGCTTGGCCGGCCGGCGGTGGTCGGCGAGCCGAGCACCTCAGCAGCCGGTACCGAGGCGTCCACCATGCCGGGCCGGGTGTCTCGGCGGATCTCCAGACCGCAGCAGCGCACACTGCTGGGACACTGGACGGCCGGCAGGACGGGCGGCCAGCAGCCCGGGCCGGGAGGCGAGTCGGGCAGCCGACACCTCACCGCCGGCAGCGCCGCCCACAGCCACTGCGGACAGCCGCCAGGCCAGACCGTCAGGCGCCGGGGTGGGGCGATATTACGAGATTTTACACAACGATGGGTTTAAATTCGGGTTTCAACGAAAAATGAGCTAATTTTTGTAGGCAGTGTCACCATAGCAATGCCACCGAAGCCCATGTAACAATTGGGAATTTATCATTAGCATAGCACCAACAGTTAAATCATCAATAAAGCAAGTCAAACGGTGGTCCATCTCACCATCAATAGCAATAAATGTTTTCAAACCAAATATACAAGTGCAAGCATACATTTAAAAAGGTAGGTACCTACATCAAAATTAAGCTTGCATGTTGGAACTTCAGGCTTGCCTGAGTGGCCACAGGGTAGGTCACAAAGTTTAACTGCAGGCTTTGGAATCAACAGCAGACATTCACAGCAATGCAAAGATTCTAAAGCAGCCAGGGGTCTTCTGTTGAGTATCACTTGTCTTGCAAATATGCCTGCAACAGCACAAAACGTCATATTAACACTGATTCTTTGCAAGTCTGACATTAAGTCAAAACACACCATGCATACAAAATATTGCACTATTGCATTAATGGTATGATGTTGTTCAGGTAAACTTCTAAAATTACCTGGGCCCTGTTTCACCGGTGATAGCAGCACGCTGCTTTTACACGTGTCAAATTGGGTTTCCATGGAAACATCAACAGGCCCATTGCTCTGCAACACTACCACAAGTGTGACGTCAGCTCACGCAATTTGATAGCAGCGTCATAGCAGCATCCCGTGAAACACCGCCCTGTAGAATAATTACACATTTCTGAAACATGACAATGAGACAGATTCTAAAAAAATGGCAAGAAACAAAAGCCAGATATGTAGCAAAATTCCAAACCAAGATGCCAAGAATAATTAAAAACTAAATCAAACTTTATAAAATACTTACATATGAGAACAAATAATCCATATATCACAATAGCAATGCATATAATTGCTGCAAGAGGAAGACCAAATGCACCATGATCCTTGGGATGTGAGTCCCCATCAGATATAACATTTCCTTCTGGAACATCCATAATTATAACTCATTTTTCATGTTTCATTCAGGTATCGCATGCTTCCATCTTCAGAAGATCTCTCCAAACATTTGTAATTTTCATTTTTCATGTGATGAATCGATGATGCCTGCAGAATCAGAAAACATGTTGCTTGTTAGTTCCCTGAAAAAAATGAACATGAAATAATTGCTGTATAAAAATGAAAATGAACTATTTCTTAAAATATCAAATGACCTTGCAATAGCTATTTATAGTCACCGTGGCAATAGCCTTGGTAGGTACTGTCCTTATCTATGAGTGCCACAGTTTCTTCACAGGTACCTTCATGATTCATCCACAACAGGCAATTTTACACAGCCCTGGTCACAGGCCAGGTGAAAATAAGGCCCTATCAAAGCACAGAGTAAATAAAAATGCATAACAGCTGCTTTGTAGGAGCATCAAGTCAAGATCAGTCAACATCAGCAAACATGATCAGCATCTCCCACTAGCTTGGTAGGTAATAAGTTAGACCAGTAAAAGCACAGTGTGTACACTGTGTAAGGATAACAAGCAAGCATAAGGATATCATGAGGAGTTTGTATAGGTAACAATTTAATGAGGACTTCTGACTCAACCAAGGCTATACAAGACTTTTAGCTTTGAATTGGATTACAAAACTTTGTCAGCAATCATGTCATAATTCAAAGTTAAATTAGATTCAGGGGATTGTGGCCTAATTTGTGACTGATACCGCCAGGCGCCAAACCCGACTAAGACACACTGACAAGTTTGGGTGATTTCCTCCTTTTGCACCTTTTAAAAACTGAAGAAATTCACAAGACAAACACATGAAAAGAGAGAACACATTCTTCTAGACGGTTGAAAGGTGAGACCACACGGCGATACTTACGATGCTTCTTAAACAAAACATTTACAACTTACACCCAACCACATGTTGAGTCAGGTAAGGTAATATTGCGATAGGTAAGGACTAAGGTTAGGTCAGGTTAGATTGGGTTTAGTTGTTTAGTCAAACAGTGCGGTTTTTATTCAGTTTTGAGCGTATAGGTTGCAAAAGGTGATTTCACCCGAATTTTTTAAATAAAATTTGAAAGGTCCGACCCGAACAATTTCTTGCGGAGTTAAGTCCTTAACAAGTCCTTATCAAGCATAAGTACCTAACCAACCAATGCATGAAAGTAAGAACATTCTGTCTCCTACCAAGATAAGAATTTGTTCACAGACACCATATATAGGGCCTGTTCCAGCGCCTCCAGAAACCTCCAGAAAGCTCCAGAAAGCTCTAGAATCCTCCAGAGAGCGTTCCAGCGCCTCCAGAAAGCTCCAGAAAGCTCTCGCCAAAGCTCCAGAAACCTCCAGTAGCCTCCAGAGAGTTGGGAGGTCCCAATTTCTCTGGAGGCTCTGGTCTACAATTATGGTGCACATGTGACAATCACGAATGTAAACAAAGGACTTTTGACTGATTATTTTACAACTTGAATGTAAAGAAAATTACATTGCTATAATTTTGTTAATCTTTCTTAATTAAATTGAAAACAAATTTTGCGTTTCAAGAGAGAACAATCGTCATTCTTTTGGTATATGTGATGCCAATCTCCAGAAATCTCCAGATTGTGTTCCAGCGCCTCCAGTGAAACCTCTGGTAGAGCCTCCAGTCAAGAATTTCTTCTGGAGGCGCTGGAACAGGCCCATACAAAAGCACATACTCTGACGACTCTGACTGACGGCCCCGGATATACACAGGCAGACTGGTAACAAAACACAGGAATAGTATTCAAAACAAAAAAAGTACGTAAGGCTGATGACTGCTCGCGGAAAAAGACCAAGGGGCTGTACGCAAATAAAATGACGTCGTCGATAAATGAGCGTTCACTGACAGCTATCTAAACAGAATATTTTCCTAATGCTGCGCAGGTTTTGTCTTCATTCGTAAACCATTGACCTCTATGCGTATTTACAAATTGCAACCGAGCTCCGTCGTGGGGTAAGGTGGGCAGGGGTTTTCGCACTACGGCTGCGGTTGAACTACCGTCTGTGGTAGAAACTTCAGGACGATGGCGCGTTTCATACGAAATCTGGCGCAATGTTTGTTTGCTTCTGAGCTTGTACTGTTATTGCTGTGAATTCTTGAAGTGGGAGTGTTTCAATAACAATTTGTGGATGATTTGAGTTTCTTTATATAAACATAGAATAGTATTATGAAACATTGTGTGGAAACTGCAAATACTGATATGATCAATTACTTAGTTTGGGAATTGATACACATTTTGTAGAGATTTGTCTGGCAAATGGTGTAACAAACCTCAAGCCTATCATGATCTGAAGCTGTTGTAACAAATCAAAATTGCTTTGATGTTACATAGTACCTTGTTGGAAAGACTGCTGGAGCATGGTTCAAGATGATGTGTAAAAATTCAAGATTTGTGCGAAAGCTTGTGACTGAAGAACGAAAACAGTTCGATATGAGGGCTCAATCAAACGTGGAAATGGATGACAAAAGTAGAGTTTCAACGTTCCAGCATGTGAGAATAACTTTAGTGAGAAATTCATAGTTCTTGTAGCATTGCATTCTTTTTATGTACAGTTACCTATAGGTTTTGTTAGGGTATTTCAAATTCATTGTGTCAGTTGAGATATAGATGGATTGCGGAAAATTTTAGAATCATTGCATGGTAGCTAGGTACTTGTTCGGTAAAAAGGTATGTGATGAATGCCATGAGAAGTTTTTTATGATTCAATATATGTTTGTTGTTGTACCTACAAAAATGCAAGCTTACTAGCAACTAGTTTCTGAATCAAATTGAAAGTATATTTTGCCATGAATGTAAATATGTACCTGCAAAGTATGTCAATAAATTTGTGTGATGTTGGCCAGAGAGTTTTATCATCTGGGCATTTATGTCGCTTCTTACATTAGGTGTTAAGCATAGTAATTACGGATGAACTTTGTGCCAATATCTTCAATGCACAATGTATGTAGCATGTCTACAACCCTCACTGATCCTGCTATAGCTATAGGCATTTGGCACCAGCTTGACCAAGGGCATGAACTTCACAGTTGCACAACCTTTTGTCATGTACCACCAGTCACTTTTTTTACTTAAGGTGCTCATAGCACTGCAGTGCACACAACAATGTGCAGAGGGCCTACACAAAAACAACATGATTAGTGTGCACTATGCTCAGCATTGTACCCTGATCAGTGATCATTATTTGAATATTTTGATCGCACTCAACAGTCAGCAGTCAGGAGATAATTATTGAATATCACATTTATTATACATCACTTGTCAAACAAGAGCATGATGACACACATTTTGACAAGCAATCATGGTAGTATTCCAATAAGTTGGACAGTCAGTCACCTCCCTGGGCGTCATTTTTCCAGGAAGGTACCTCTGCAGGTGTTGTGATTGGCTAGGTTGAATTGGGTTAAGTTAGGCGAAGTAAGGTGGTTAGGACCAGGTCAGACCGTAAGGCCTGGTCAGGTTGATTTTAATCTTTCATTCTAATTTGACATAGATACCTATTACCTATGTTTTTGCTCAAGCCTGAATTTCATTAGGTAATGAGTTAATTTTGCTTTGTTTTTATCTGTCTTGTTTTGTGTTTTTGTCCCTTATATTTTGCCCCATAGGCAAGGGTGGAGCTTTTCCAGGGAAGGTGGTGGAGCATGATTGGAGGCGCTCAACCAGACGGCATAGGAGGGCACGGTTTCTGAACGCGCACTGATGCCTGATTCAAGCCACGCTGTCTTCATGCGGGGCGGCGCGCTACTTAAAAGTCCCTAAAAGAACGGGAAGTGATGCCGATAGAACCTTCAATCATTCTGGGCTAACGCTTATGACTTGGAAAAAGTCCGAAAACCTGTCGGCTCTTGTTCAGCAGGAAGTGTATGAAGGGCCACCCGCCATAAGCACTGCTCAACCGCAGGCACAGGTTTAGACGGTGTTGGTCCGCATCAAAGCCAGTGTGCTGGAGAATCCATTGGCTGAAATGTTCCAGAACATTCATCACTGTGTTTTTATGAAAGGTGGCTACATGCTCAGTTAAAAGAAAAAGTACCAGATTGTTTTGCTTTTTAATTATGCAGCGGGAAGAAAGGTGTCCGGATAATTTCGTTACACCCCCTGTAATGTTCAAATGGTTGCTAAATTCGAAATCAGCTCCAAAAACTAGCCTAGAAACATGTAAAACTCGAAAAAGGAACCGAGGTCATCAAAGGTCATTGAGCTGACCTGACCTTCAGGTGACCTTGACACCCACCCTAATGCATGGGACCAGCATCATATCACATGTTTCAACGCTTGAAACCACGTGAAAACTGCAACCGCGCGGCTAATGCGAGCCGACATACGCCGAATCGCGATTCGGGCCAAATATGGTCTCGAAAAATAGGTCACATGTCAAAGGTCAATTGGGTCAGGGTCATGACATTTTCAGGGTAGGTGTAAAATTGATAAAATCGGGGGCATTGAAAGTTTCGTCGCGATCGGACGGTTTTTACGCGAGTTACTCACGAAAAACCGATAAAGCGCACCCAAAAAGGCAGAAATATGCACATGCGATATCCTATACTGCGAAAAAAGGTGCATCATTTTTTAACGTCGCCGACAAATTGTAATTACCCTAAGCTCAGGCAGATGTATGGTAGAAAATCCCCCAAGTGAAATACACTACGGCGGAAATAAAATACCCTACGGCGGAGCTCGGTTGCAATTTGTAAATAGTAAACTGCTTGAAACAAGAGGCTAGTAAAATAGTTGTTATGAATATAGCACCTTGGACCAACAGTGATTGATTGATTTTTATATAATGTAACAGTGAATTACATAGTTTACGTCTCTCGTAAGACCATAAATGAATGTAACGGAACAATGTATGGAAAGTTCAAGTGATACAGGTATGAAAATCAACAGGAACCCTGTCTGATAAGTGAACCACACTACTGTATGAATCAGTGAACCATGTTAACCAGGGATGCGGAGCCGTGGAAATTTCAGACGGCTCCGGCTCCGGCTCCGGCTCCGGAGAAAAAAATCGGCTCCGGCTCCGGCTCCGGCTCCGGGTGAAATGTCATGGCGGCTCCGGCTCCGGCTCCGGCTCCGAGTAAAATGATCCGGCTCCGGCGGCTCCGGCTCCGGCTTCTACTCAGTACATCCCCTATGCGATCAATTAAATACGGGTGGAAGAAAAAGGCGATGGGATTGGTACACGTTGCTTCTGTATTTGTATAACAAGGCTATTTTGAATACCACATTGTTTTACGCCTTGTACCTACTGTCAAACCGAACTAGGTAAATAATTGTTTCCTCGTAAGAAAAGGAGCCGGAGTCGCCCCCGTTTTTGACGGCTCCGGCTCCGGCTCCGGCTCCGGGCAAAATATGCCGGCTCCGGCGGCTCCGGCTCCGGCTCCGGCTCCGGCTCCGCATCCCTGAATTGTTAACCACTGCAAAAATAAGTGAACCATTGTTATCCCAAGGATGACAGTGTTGCAAGCTCGCAAAACCCTCAGCGCCAGGTTATCTTTCACAAGATGTACATATATACTTCCTGCGGCACCGCCGGGAGGTTACACTTTACTTATACGTCCGGGAAGTTACGTTACGTTATGGGAAGGTCATTACGGGGAGGCACGCATAAGTCAGGGAAGCTATTATGGTAACTTTATATAATGTAGTTATAGTTACTTTGATATTATCGGGAGTTGATTCTGATTGTAGTAGCCTCCCGAGTCCCGAGTTCTCGTAACCTTCTAATCTGATTTTTTTTTTATAAAGGTCACCTGAGGTCAGTTCGACATGACCTCAACATTATCATTCAACTGAGCGTGGGATATTGCAGTTGATCAGGTGCCGGAAATAATCAAACACTATCCCAAGCATATTGAATTGTGATTTTTCTACACTCCTCACAAAATCCGAGCCGTTGCAAACGGTTGCATTGCTGTGCTTGCGTGAGGTCATAAAAGTAGGCAGGACGCAACTAAGGTCATCGGTGTTTTTCGTCAACGACCCGATCAAGTCGAGAGCTAGCGCCTAGCAAGTCAGCATAGACTCTGGAGACCTGTCGAATCGAACGAAATGAAATAATGGCCCAGCTGTCGAGTGAACGGCCGCATAAAGCGTTTCATTGTCTCGATGTGGTTTGCACGATGGTACAATCGGAGTGCGCACCGCCAAGGCGCGCTTGCATTTCTTCCGAATGTAAGATCATGCTGCTCGGTGGGCAATCGGAATTGTCTCTGACACGTATCCATCAATTGGCAACTATGACCGTATGTTATTAGTGTGGCAATGGTGAATTGCTTCCCTGGTACGGCCTCAGGTCTGACGCCTGACACACATACTTGGCCCATGAGAACAAGCTCAGGCCATACATGCAGATATTGGATAGGAAATCATTTGACGGGCCTGATAGCTCAGGTACTTACATAGCCGCCATAAGGAACTGCCTTCGGCCATCACGGTGGGAAGAAAAACTCGGGCGATTTTATCTCAAGGCGAGCACGGGCCTCTCGGAGCATGAGATGGGCTCTGGCTCAGCCTCCGCGCGGACGACGGACTGGGCTCAGACCAGGAAGGGAGTTGTGAGATTGACTTGTGCGCCGACAACTTCACCAGTGCGGGACACATGATTGACACTTAGCGGCTCCATGTAGCGGCTATTTATTCCGGATTGTCATCTTTCCGGCGCTCGTAGACCATTCATTTTCGCAGTTGATATGGGCGACTGGAGTCCCTCCCGTGATGTGAACATACGCTGAACAGAGCGCTGAAGGACCCGCTCGCTCCCGCGGCATTACGCACTTTGTTCACAACACGGGCGGCTGTGTCTGCGCGCGCCACACGCTCCACGCTGTCGGGTGCATTAGAGTTACCAAATTATCGCTTATCAATGTCGAGACGAGCTTTTTCCTACCGAGCGGCAACCTCCTGGAACCACCTCCCACCCACCACCACTAGCTCTGGAACACACGCTGAGTTTCTTCGCCACCTTGCTGCCTAGCGCTTTTGCCTTCTGTCATATCCGTGAAAATTGTGACGCGCTGGCTGCTCTGCACTCATCAGTCTACTGCGGCAGTGTTTGTGCATGTGTGCGTGTACGTGTGTGTGTGTGGGGGGGGGGACGGGGTAGGTGTACCATGTCTTTTGTGTGTGTGATCGAATCAAATACTAAACCATGCAATGGAATGATTCGAAATACATTGAACTTGAACTTGAACTTGAACATACACATGCACTTAGCCGGCCAGTGTTTGGGCGGCGCTGGACGATGCGCTGACGTCTATCTCAGGTGATCGTGAGCCGGTTGTCCTCGACGCCGGGGCAATACATTCTGCATGATCGTCGGGCTGCGGCAGTGGCGCCGTACCGGGCTGCCACCCGGATGTGGTTGAACTGAGCGCCCTGCAGTACTTATAGCGGGGCCCGCCCGCTGGTAGCTGTCATAACCATAACGTGAAAAGCCGCACACGTGCCCTGTCTGGCGGGCCGGCGCAGCGCAGTCATGATGGAGGTGGTCGCGATCTGCAGCAGAGGCTCAGTGAGCAGGATGTCCCGTGATTCCGGTAATTGTCGGCTTTGTCCTGTGGTTCATTCAGGAACACTGAGCCAAGCTCCACTGTTAGCTCACTGAACATACACGTATGTAAGCGAGACAGGCCGGGTGTATGCATAGGCACTTGGAAGTCAGATGAATTGTCTGAGTGTCTGACATACCCATAGCGTGATGATCTGTCATCTCAGACATAGGAGGGACCGGGGGTCGTCTTTACCAGCGGATGTAAAGTGAGAAACGGGGGTAGCAGCTAGCAAGGACCTCGAGTCGGTTACCCTTCCCTTCAGAACTATGCTTAACAAAGTAAGAAAGTGCTTGTTGGAAAGGAATAGACTCACGAATCGTTGCAGCCTGCAGGTATAAATCCGCCCATGTTTATGGGACATTTCTTGATGTTGACAGCATAGGTCGAGGTAACAGCGAGTAGCGACTATTTGGCATTTAACAATTTATCGAAATGCTTTTTTTGGTTTGGTCACCTAAATAAATAATTTATGCGTATCAGATATCCACCTCATTGATTCATGTTTCCATTTATAACGTTCGATTGCAATGCGTCGCTTTATTGCAGCCGTAACGTTTAAAGTTTAACGTTTGCATTATGGTAGGTATCTACACATTTTTTGTCTTTTACATGCCTAATTTAATTATGCATTACCATTTACCAATTACCAAGAAAGAGAGAACATGTGCTGTTTATAGGTATAGGTGAGGTCCATAAGCTATTATCCCACTGAACAACCCTTTTACATATAAGATGGATCGGGAATAAGCCTTGCTCACGAGTCACGAAAGACGTTTTAACGCCGTTTTGCTACCATTTTTGACCCCTCGAGGCCGGCCGAAATGATTCACCGCGTGCCCCAACAAGTAACCTTTCGATGACAGTTATACGTCCTGTCAGGAGTCACCACCCAGCGGTGTCCGGCGACCGGCCGTCATGAGGCCCGCGCGCGTCGCGTGCCTGATCCGCGGTTCGCGCGCTCGGCGGCAGCCGCCGTTGGCGCCACCAGCGCCTCAAGACGGCCGGCTCGCGCGCGCGCCGACGCAGCGGCTCCGTCTGCGGCGGACGTCAGTGCGGATCGCGGGCCGGAGTCGGGTGGGCGGTGCGTCTCTGTTCCGGTCGGCCAGGGCCATGTGGACGGCAGCCTTGTGAGCGACCCTCTGACGGAACTCGGGTGCGCGCCGGTCGGGTGAGGTGACGGAGCTGCAGTGTGCGTCGCGCAGCGTGGTGTCAGTGAACAGCGTCTCGGAGTGTTCCGCGCGGACTCGTCCCCCCACCGTCATGTCTCCACCGCTCGGCGCCGCGTGCGAGGAGCGTCAAACCCCCTCCCGTGAGGTGCGCGGGATGACACCGGGAATGACGCCGCCGCCGCAGACCGAGTCGGCGTCACTGGACGTCAGCGGGGACGGCATCATGCACCTGGAGCCGCGACCGTTCCGGCCGTTCAAAACGTCCGAGGAGTATCTGTACGCCATGAAGGAGGACCTGGCCGAGTGGCTGAACACGCTGTACGGCCTCAATATGACTGCCGAGAACTTCATGGAGGTCCTGGAGACCGGCGTGGTGCTCTGCGATGTGAGTAATTCGCTGTTTGATACGTTGTCATAAATCCACGTGTTTGGCAACAACTCCGTGAAGACAGTGATGCTTGCCTAAACACGCACCAGTCTTCGTGCGGCGTGCCGTACGTACATACATTGTATATCTATATTCAATCGACTGTTTACAGGGGCGCGGGAACTACTTTCCGACTGGGGGGGCACACCATAATAGAGATTAACCTAGGGTACCCCCAAATCTAGTTTTCTCACCGGTTTTAGGCCACTTATTTTTCATCCCTCGGCTTTTTCAACAAAAAAAGAAAACATTTGCAAAAAAAGTGTGGTATTCCGTCTCAAAGCTGTGGGGGCACCGCCCCCACGGCCCCAGAGTTGGGGGGGGCAACAGAGCCTATTTTAAGGGAATTTGACTGGGGGGGCAACCTGGAAAATTGTCTTTAATAATCCATTAACCCTCGCCCGTATTGGTGTTTCCAGTAGCGAGCGTATAGGGGGGGGGGGGGGGTCCGTTGGACCCTCCCCATTGCCGTTTCGCCCCTGATCGAGCTAGAGCTTCGCGGAAAAAACGACCGTGTTGCCCGTGATGAAAGGAAGCCGATTATACCCAATTTTAAGGTCCTAGGTCATCGGTTGACCTTCCAGGTCAGGTCATTGACCCAAAAGTCGGGAAAATCGGGACCTGTTAGAGCGTCGTAAAGAGTGGCTGCTATGGTTTTTCGGGGTGCTGATCACGAATATCATGTTAGTTATGATCATAGATGATGTCTTCATGCATATAGGCCAGGTCAGGTCAGGTCAGGTCAACCAGTAAGGGTTTTGCCGGGTATTCGTAGTAGGTGGCAACCGCCTCTGACAGCTTCGTAACATGTTACGAAGGCACCAAGACTACTTCGTAAATGGTCAAATGGCTGCTTAATTCGAATTCAGCTCCAAAAACTAGCCTAGAAACATATAAAACTCGAAAATGTGAACCGAGGTCATGAAAGGTAAATGATCTGACCTGACCTTCCGGTGATCTTGACACCCACCCTAATGCATGGGAGCAACATCATATCCCATGTTTGAACGTTTGAAACCACGAAAAGACTGCAAACGCGCGGCTAATGCGAGGCGACATACGCCGAATCGCGACATCGGCCAAACATGGTGCCATGGTGCTAGGCCGCCGGTGCATCTGAAAGAACTGTGGTGCCCCTGACAAGCCTGAAGTTCCAACGACAGGCCCGTGGTGCCCCTGACAGGCCCATGATGCCTTTGCGAGGCCGGTGGTGTCCACGTGAGGCCGGTGGTGCCTGGGCCCTGACAGGACTGTGGTGCTCCTGACAAGCCTGGAGTGTCCCCAACAGGCACGTGGTGCCACTAACAGGCCCAAGGTGTCCCAGTCCCTGCGAGGCCGGTGGTGTCCCTGCCAGGCATGTGGTGTCCATACTAGGCCTCTGGTGCCCCTGACAGGTCCGTGGCGCCCTTGCTAGGCCTATGGTGCCTCTGGCAGGCCTATGGTGCCCCTGGCGGGCCTGTGGTGGTACCCCTGACAGGCCCAAGGTGGTGCCCCTGCGAGGCCGGTGGGGCCCCTGGCAGGTCTGTGGTGCCCCTGGCAGACCTATGGTGCTCTTGCTAGGTTGATGGTGCTCCCAACAGGCCTGTGGTGCCCCTGACAGGCCGGTGGTGCCCCTGGCAGGCCTGTGGTGTCCCCGGGCCCCAAGAGGGTGGGGGGTCATGACCCATATGACCCACCCTTAGATACACCACTGGTCATTACTTACAGACTGACTCATTTGACATCCATTGCAAAACAAGTCACAGTAGTTACGTAGTATGTTTGTCACCCTGTTCCTTTATGCCCATTTTTATAGTGGGCAAATCTCGACGACTAGGGGGGCAATTCTGTTGAGTGCGGGGGCATTTGCCCCCCCCCCCCCCCCAGTTAACATGTTAAAATAGGCCCTGGGGGGCAAGCTGCCCCCACTGCCCCCCCGGCTCCCGCGCCTATGACTGTTTATGACTTTATTGAGCCTACCCCCATTATATTTCATTTTTTGGTCCTATCCTTTTTTTCTGGTCAGCGAGTCACGTTTTTGTTTTTTCCGTTCGTGGTCAGGGGCGGCCATTTGTCTCAAGAAGTTTTTTTTTAGTTCTTCGACGAAAGCCGAAAGGAACACTGCTATTTTTTGATCATGTTGCTGGGCGTAAATGATGAGCACCGAGATTATAATGAACTAAAATAATAATTAATGCATCCATGGCTGACACTTTTATTCATTAGGTATCCAAGCCTTTAGGTATAATTATCAAAAATTAAGTGCCTGATTCTATTTGATTGCTGCGCACGGAGCTCTTGCGATACGAATACGGCGCGAACGTAACGTAGATTGTGGAACGATTCCATAACGATTCTACTAGGCTGCCGGGCTGCCTTCATTCCAACGTGATCCGTTGACACGTCCGTTGCAGTGCGATGACTGGTGAGTGTGCACGCCTAACATGTTTGTGCCTGCCGACATTTTACTTTTTTTCTGTGATTTAATGACCGCACCTCATTGATCCCTAACGTCAACCTTGGGGCCTGGGCCGGCTGGGCCTGGAAGGAAAGATAATTTATGCATGCTGGGTTCGATCGATGTCACAACATCCTTTTCAGACCCTGCATATAAGCTAAAACTGAAGAAATTGCGCTTATAAATGGAATGGAGAATGTTTTTGTACATCCCATGGTACGGGAGCCGCGAAGCTGCCTACCGGGCCAGTTTTAACCGACCTCACGCGACTTTCCCAGACGGTGCGGATTTTCTCTGTTGGTTATCGTTTCGGCCGAGCGTGACTGGGCCATTGTTGTAGGTCTCCCAGTTTCCACGTTGAGACGCCGTGAAACTTGCTCGCGAGACTCGCCAAACGTGAACTGTTCACGGAAGCACCGGCCTTGGAAGCACCCACCAATGGAAGTCCGCTTACCTCAATGCATTTTTCACGTGATTCATCGCGCTTCTTTCCTGCAGTGGACAAACCTTACCCGACACCTGCCGCAAAAAGGTCTGCGCAGTGTGGCATTTTAAAGGGACCCTCCCACCTTCAAAAAAGTTAATGAATTGGCATGAAAGTGATGTCGCTCGGTTCAGAAAGAGCAAAAATGAATATCTACCAAATTTCATCGAAAAATATTCACCGGTTTTCAAGATATTAGACTTTTACTTTTGTTTACTTTTTGGGATCTCCGCTGTTCCTAGCGACTTTATTTGAAAGTGCGGCATTTGTTGCGCGCAAAGCAGCATATACCACCGCGTGCTGCCTAACCTTTAAGTAAAAGATTTAAAAATCGTTAGATCTCCGCTGACGTCACAAATTCTAAGGGGGCATACCAATGCACTAGCCCCTTAGAATCCGAAAACTGCAAGTTTGAAATTCCAAATCTCCGAATTGAAGCATTTTTCGATGTTGTGAATGCCCAAACCGGTATTTTCAGGCCATGGCCACCAATTTGGCTATCTCAACTCAAAACTAATGTTAAGGTGGGAGGGTCCCTTTAAGCATGGCCCTTGGTGTATTTGGTGGTTCAATACCAGCCGCCCGGCGGTGCAATTGAAACCCCTCCGTTGCACGATAGGACCGCGGCCGGAATTAGCGCGACATTGGTGGATTTGGCGACCTTTCCCAAATTGAGTTAAACTGTGTCACGTAGTTCAGAAATGTCCATGGACCACGAATCTACAAATATTTTTCGTCCATAGTGTACAGCGTCCGCGCCACATCAGCCCAAACACAAAGTTTTGTGCCAAGCATCGTAGACCCGTTTTCGTACGGAGAAAAATAGCAGCTAATGTAGGTAAAAAATATATCTATTACTTATTAGACGGCTTTATCAATATTTTTGACGTCTAACCTGATAGTTTAGACCATGGGCTACACGATGGAAGAAAAAAAAACTCATAGCGGAATATATATAAATACGCTTCAAATGTTAAGTTTTTTTGGTGCTTTAAAAATTGTGAGTTAATTTTACTGTTATAGATATTCTGGAATGCCGATATAAAAAGTCCCGCTAGGTCCCGCTGTTCTTTTATCAATATGGTGTTTACCAATCAATTGCCTTTCAGAAAATGTATAATTTAGCTGCGTCAGCCTGCGGCAGCGAAAATTAAGGGCATTTTTTTACTCCAGGTCGCCGCGGCCGGGAGCCGCGAGTAACAGAACCTCAGGAATCGAACAAGGTTGCCAAGTACCAACTATATTAAAGTTTTGTCCGGACATATCCGTACCTTCTATCGGAGTTTCTGATACACTTTTCTGACCCGTAATAAATTTGTTATATAGTCATGTAGGCCATCAGATTCCCATCTTCACGGTTTTGGTGGCTACATTATTTGCTTATCGGAATTTCCGGTGCCGTCATGACCTGGCCTGACAGGTGCTGCCGTCTTATCACGTGACCGAGCGGAGTCGAGGTCAGGGCAGGTCAACCGATTAATTAATCAATTAATTAATGAATTAATTAATGATTAATTAATTAAATTAATCAGAAATTGTTTAGAAAGTACACCGATTACCATTTTTATGATTCTACCATCCTTTTCATGTGAAAAGCGGGCACGAAATACGAAAAAGTACCGATGTCGCGCTAATTTTCGCTCCGGTCCCATTGTGCGTTGGTAGGTACTTACATTGAAAACCGCTCATCACGTCTCCACACCGCTGATCCGCCCCGTCAGCGGCTGAGCCGGCCCGCTGGTGTGCCTGGCTCCTGCTCGTGCCACGAGCGTGGACGGCCGGCGCCGCGCAACGAGAGCTTATCCGCACCAGAATTCCCCCGCTGTCCGGGTCTAATCCTGTCTGTAGTCATGTGCACTGTGCAGTGTGCTCAGTGCTCTTCACTCGTCAGTGCATGTAGCTCGCTCTGAGAGACGGACATCTGACATGTATCGTGAGCCGGGGGTTCGCCGTCCGTCCGTCCATCCGTGGCCCGTGCCCTCCCGGCGCGGTGGATTCACGAGCGGCCGACTAGTCTAAGCGCCCCCTCCCTGCCTATCTTATCGTAGAGGCCCGTGCTCGGCGCGAGTGGTGCGGTTAGCACATCCTGCCCATGTGGCGCGGGTCGCCCGGTGCAGATTTCCTAGAGTATAGGACGTCGGACATTATACGAAAGTCTGAATAAACTGACCATTGGTGTTCTATGTTCGTTCGGCTCGCCCCAAAGGATAGCGGCTGGCTGCCCAGGCACAAACCAGTGCCCATGTTCTCTGGTCGTTAAATCCGGTCGGACACAGCGATACCGCTGAGTTTTTGCTCCGCTTAGTCGGTTCATGTATCACATTTTGACTGAAATCAAGATCTACATGGGCGTTAACAGTCCGGGTCAGTGGCTTCAGGACAGGCTTATCTTGGACCTTTTGTTAATTGTCGAGGTGTCGACATGCTTGGGTACCCCGAATCAACTTAAGATCAGTTTTACTTTGTCAGATGACCCTCAACATTTTTGAGGAAGTGTTATTCTAGGCAGGTCATTGACGTGAACTGATGAAATCGGCTTAACTATGGAATATCGATCACGGCTGCTCATAAACTAAAGCTGACTTTTCTCGCATATATATATTTTTTTAAATTCCTGCAAGCAACTTGATGATGACGAAAGCAGGCATTGCAGCATTTCTGAGATAAACACTAAACAGATATAGGTATCCTGCTTCTGGTATTGCCTAATTAGCTAGTCGAGGCGTAGTTTTCCATCCCTGAGTTTAAACTGATCTGTTCTGGACGTGGCAGTAGCTGCTTCTGTGCGGACATCCTGCTCGGAGCGTATCTTTCCGTATCTCAGTTGTTTATGTCGCGATCTCTGCAGTCTACAACCGTGCAGTGCAGTCTTAGCACAGTTGTGGTGATCTGCACCCGGCCGGCCGGTAGCTGTGTGTTGGAGAGGTTCCAGCAAAACGCGGAAATATTCTGACAACACTCGATTGAACTCGTTCTCAATCTTGTGGATCTGGGGCGATTTATGCGCGATTTGACGAACTGGGTTGTGGGGTGGAGAATCGGGGCTAATATTTGAAAACGTGAGAGATGGGATTTAATGGGAAACACCATCTTTTCGCAGCGCAGCGTTTAGTTATGGACCGATCCATTTTGCAGTTATAAAAGTAAATTGTACGTGCTGGTTGAGGCTACTATACCATATTATGGTGACGCATAGCTGGTTTGCTTTGACCCAGTGACTGCAGGTTTAATTAATGCTCGGCCCTCATATCGCAAACGGTCCATATCTTTGATATAAACCTGAACGGTTGTATAATCAAGATTTTTATCATGCCTGGCCACCTTTGCTCTGCAGCTCACCGCACTTTGCTTTTTACAATTACTCACTTGTGGGTGCTCAACCGGTGACTTAATGAGCTGTGTTGTAAGAATATGTTTTTGCAGTGCGTCGTAACAATTTATGATTGATGCCGCCCATGCGAACATAGAAATTCACTTTAGATTCGTCGATTGTTGTACCTACTCTTATTGCAGGTACTATATGTACCTTTTAATCATTTAAAGGTCAATTATAGGTGCCTATCTAGCATATTATAAATGATTATCCGATAATACTGTCGCCTTAGTTAAAAGTTTTTTGTTTGTTCCCTTTTTCATATTTTGCTATTGTCAGCGAGAAGCTACCCGGACACGCCACACCCCAACATCTCTCCCTCATCGGCTGACACGTCATCAAGGAAAGTTTGTCAAATTAATGTACTTCCCTGAAAGCAGACTGAGGCCCAAAGATTGGTATGCTAATGAGGGCATTGTCGTACAGTGTGTGCCGGTAACGCAAAAAGTCTGTATTTGGTGGCTGCCGGCTGGTCGGTTTACCCCGCGCCACCCGTTTACCTTCACTGCTCGGCTCGCCCTCAGTACCGGTAGTGCCCAGCCCGGTCCACAACGTCCAGCAGATTTCCTCTATAATGCATGCCAACACGCGTATAACGGGACATAAACGGTCCACAACGCATTTGCACGAAATGATTCATTGCGTAGCTAGATGACAGTGGTTAGTTGCGAGGTCTTCTGTGGCTTATTTGTGACTTGTGAGGCTAATATATGGGACGTCTCGTCCCGTTTTGCCGTAACTACGTTAAATTGCCATTTTCCCTAATGAATGGTTGGCTGTGCCGTTGTTGTTTATTTCTCTTTATTTACCAGCCAGCATAAATGTCATAGTTTGCCATGAAGCAGCGCATACGCTTCCCAATGAGATGACGTTGGCCTGACGAAGGGTTGTGCTATTCTGTCGGCCGTTCCCAATCATATATCCGTCTTGATCAGTATGTGTGCAAACCGCACAGCGTAGCATGTCAGTTGTGGCATGCCGAACATCAGTTGCAGCGGCATTGCTAGAACTGCTGTGTTTTCCATACCAGTGCCATGATTGGAGGAACACGATTTTGAGACACGAGTATCGCCAACCTAAGGTGATGTTCTAACTTTTAACGGCTTATTACGCGACATTTCGCAGCCTTCAACCTTGCCAGAATCAGCCACTGTGCCGAATGATGTTAATGAGATCTTGTGATTCCAGTCCTCTGGAAGATAATGTGAGCACTTCTTCTTAGTTTATGTTACGTAAAGTCTGATGTATCCGGTCGGTTAACGAGAGGCCTCGCTGCACGCTCATGCCAGGTAAATTGGCAGGTACAAAATGGGCCCCAGATGTGGTAAAATGTGGTAAAATATGTAGGTACTAGATACTTCCCGTCCCTTATCACTGTAGGGCTATGTAGACTGCAGACTGCAGACTGTATAGTCCTTTGACTCCATCAAGGCGATATCGGATGTTGCATCGGATGTTGCAAGGCAGACGTCCGATCATGGACCGATCTGTTTCGATGTGCGGTGCGGGCTGAATCAGCGGAATGGCATGGAAAACAACTACTGATGTGGCTCCTGGGAGTCATTTTTCATTTTTAGGATCATGCTTGGAGCATGTCTTCATGGGTTCTCCCAGGGCCGGTCGCCGAGAAAAGTTGGCCAGTCGCACGATACAGCAGCACGGAAACTGCGTCCGAACAAAACCGGTTCCTTGTCGTTGTTTTCAAATGCAGAACTAGCACAAATGAGATGTATTTCCCAAACGGCCGGAACTGCAGATTGCGGCAAATTGGTCGCCGCTGCGTCACATTGCGCTGACAATGTCTAGGAGGAACTGTTCACCGACGGCCGAGCGCCTGCGGCAGCGGCTGTGTCCTGCAGCTGCACACGACATGTTGCTGACTAGCCGACACGGTATGCGCGCTGCACAGTGCACATGGTGCAGTGTGGCGTGTGGCTTCTATAGACATTAGATGGCCGGACTGGTGACAGGCAACGCCAGAGAAACAGTCGAAACAACAAATTCGATGGTTGCGGAACAGCCGAGCCGATAGTGATGTGAATGTTGGACTCAGTGTTGCGCCGACCACTGCGTCAATAATAACAGCCGGATAACATTTGCACCGACAGTGGCCTTGCACCAGCAGTCGAGACAACGTTAGACTAAGACTCGAACCAATAGTAGCACAAAACGCCGCCGGCCATCACTAACGTGACCGTGTTTAGACACAACGGTTTTCTCAAGATAAACGACGCGATGAAGTGCCCCTAATTTGGTGGTAATCGTCACATCGCTCAGTTGATCATCGATTGTGCCCTCTCATTTTCGCCGCCGACCTGGCATGCTGCAACGGTACCAATCCCGTCGCAATTGCCGGGTGCAGACGGGCGGCACGGCTGGTTACACGGTGATGATGTGGAATTGATGTGACGCGCAACGTTGTTCAGGTAGCGTATGTACGTAGACGGCAGAGGCCTAAACGAACCAAGTTGTTTGAGGCTAGACGTCTCTTGCTCATCGCTGCGTGCAAAGGCACAGGGGGACGTGAATGTTGTCTGGGCTGTGAAACGTAATTGTACATTTTTACCTCCCAGAAGACGTGCCCGTACTTTCAAAGCTGCCAAACTTTGTCCCGCTTTTAGCTGATGACCGCCCTCTGTCTGTTTCAGCACGCCAGTAGCGTTCGTCGATGTGCCGACCAGTATCAGACAGAGCACGTCGAGCGTCGCGGTCGACGCTTCTCGGCTGGCTTCCGAGTGCCCTCCTGGGAGGTGCCCTACAACCGTCAGGCCCGTGCCGGCTCATTTTTTGCGCGCGACAACATCCACAACTTCATCCGCTGGTGCAACGAACTCGGCGTCCTCGACTGCCTCATGTTCGAGACCGAAGATCTCGTCTCGCGCAAGAACGAGAAGCACGTGATTCTGTGCTTGCTGGAGATCGCGAGGCGCGGAGCCAAGTTCGGCATGGCGGCGCCGATCCTGGTGCAGTTCGAGCAGCAGATTGACAGGGAGATCGCCCGTGAACAGGCTGGGGAGGACGCGGAAGATGCAGAGGATGAACAGGAGTTGGAGGACGAGCCCGAGGAGCCGCCCATGGTGTACGGACCGACACAACAGGTGGTCACCAACGACCTGAAGAGCCTCGACGAAATGGTGAGTACCACACCACCGACTAATGCGTGTCATGGCCCCCGGTGCGTGGGTTGAGTTAGCGTTAGGCGTACCCAATGCCCTTTAGCTATGCGTGCGTTGGCATGCGGTCGCTGATTCACCATGGCTCATTTGTCAGCGACGCGTCGAGCCCTTTGGGCTCGGTCCGTCACGCGTTGCGCAACATCTGCATATGCGTTCATGTTTACGCATACCTCCCCCCACTCACATTCCCACTGTGCGTGTTTACTTCATTCTCACTGCCTCTCAGTCATTCTCCCTTCTTCGGTATCGCCTCCATCACCGCTACCCTCTTCATTCTACTATCATCCATCTTCTCTTCTAACAGCACTCCATCTCCTTTCCCTCCGTAAGAATATGTAACTAAGAGAAATTCCTTCATCTGTTGGATTGGCACCTTCGTCTGCTGCTCATTGTAGTCCTGACGTACTTACCGTACGGTATTTGCTGTCGGCGCCGTTTCTCCTCGCGTTGAAGTGTTGGCGCCGTCAGAGTTCATTGGCCAGCCAGGACACTGATGGCGGCTACAGAAAGCAGGCGTTGTCCTGGACAGCAGTGCTAACACCGCTCAAATTCAAACCGTATCCGCACACTGGCTCTGCGCTCTGTTATCAGTTTTCACGTGGGGCACAACACTTCTGCTTTGTTCGGATACTCATTTACTGATAGTGCTGACTGATAACACGCAACGGATACTGAGATAAGGCGTTGTGTCAACATTACAGCCTTATCTCGACATCGCTGGGGGTCCGGCTTGTCCGTCTAAGTTCCAAAGATTTTCACATTGGTATTATTACCGTCAATAACAATGGTAGGTATATCTTAAACGGTTAACTCAACTGGGCATCATCTCGCAAGTTATAACGGGCATCATTTGCGGCAGAACATGTCTACAGTTCCCGTTGATCCGTATAGATGGTGGTGCTAATGCTACAATTGATGACATTTCAGGAATCACTCCCATGGCCGCTATGTTTAATGGCGTGTCTGTGCGTTTTTGTATGTCTGATTGATGGCTGACATCAGTGACTTCGTGGAGATAACTCGCGTAGGGCCCCAATAAGACGGGCAATTTTACCGGATAACAGCGCGTCGTCTGCCGCGAGATGTGGTCACGCAGAGCTTTGGTGCAGTTTGTCACTGACACAAACTGGCTTCGCCGAGATAAGTTGTGCTCGCTGATTTTAAAACCGTCTTGTCTCGCTCTAAGACTAAGTCGAGTACCGTTTATATAGGTGACTGTAAGCCTGAGCTTTAGCAGTGAGTCATCTACCCAAAGTAATAACAGAAACATAAGCTTTGCATCCATAAAGCACCTTGCAGCCGACTGGTTGACGGTTTAATGCCCCTTGATGTCCCGTTGTGTTGCTGGAAAGGAGGGCTTACCTAAGGCGGGCGCCTGGCGTCTATGTGACCTTATCACGGAGCCTAGCAACGCCGAACAATACGCGGGCCTCCTGCGGGCCTCCCCGCCCTCATGGTCATCTGCCCGGGTGCCTTAGCTCAGTGCATCTGACCCGAGGGAGCCTATAACGTATGCATCGTGCAGGTGTTGTCCTTCATGAGGCCAGGACCACGGCGCGCTGACCTGGCCCCCGCCCGGTCCACCTTGGTCCCGATCGGCGCGATCGCTCTCGGCACTGGAGTCGGGCGCTGCGAGCCGAGAGTTGTGGCCCCTCGCAGACCGGTTGGTCGTGACAAATTTGGACCGGTCGCCCGGCGGTGGCAGACGCGATGCGGCACGCGACGCACGTCCGACGCGGCGCGTGCACGGCGCGACGGGCCTGTGACCGATGACGACAAATGGGGCTCGTCACCTGGGGACGTCGGCGCCCCGGGGCGCCGATGGGAGGGACTGCGGGACCCGGAAGGCGGCGCTGGCCGCGCGGAAGTTCCGGCGGCCCGCGCGGAGGCGGCAGCCGCGTGCCGTCGCTGCGCCGACCGCCCGTCGTCGGCCACAGGTGCCGCCGACGCCGACACAGCTGTGGTGTCGGCGCGTCGGCCACACGCCACGCACGTGCGGCTGTGCCCTCAATGTCACGGTGACTCCGCCTCCCGTCCGCCGTGGCACCTGTCCTAGGTCGAAAGGGAGCGACTGAAGGTCGCTGACAAAGCGCAGCATTATACCCTCGCTCAATCCACATACTGGCTAATCAGTAATTCCTAATAAGCCGCCCAGTGGCCACTCTTGGCCCACTTGCGGCTCAGACAGTGTCCTCATCGCGATTGTCTGGACAGAACGAGTTGGCTTTGAATGGGTCGGTGCGCACGCCGTGTCAGATCAGTCAGTGTGCGCACAGTCTGTCGACGGGCGCTCGCGAGCCGTCCGTGGGAGGCGACTATCCGTCTCAGTCTCGGAGGAAACGTCCGCTAAGTAGTTCTTAAAATCACATATTGGACTTTACCGATATTAATTTGCCCTCCAAACACGGACTTGTTTGACTTCTTGATGGGAAACACGCAGTTGTTTAGTGCACTCAACAACTGTGTACTCTCCATCCAGGTCAAGCGGCTTTTCGACGTTTTCGTGCGTCGATTTAGAAATATCACCACGACAATCTGTCTTTTTACACAACCGTCAGGGACATGACCAGCAATTTGGTAAGCTCGGCTTACCGCGAAGTTTCGGCCGTTGTCCAGTTTCATTATTTTCCCATGCGCTCTGAGCCGGCCGACCAATCAACGGTTTCATAACCGACAGCTTTGTCTCCACACTCCAGCGACCCCGTTCATAATGTGACATTACCCTTCTGGGCGCTGCTGGCCGCTGTTTCAACAGTTCCATGAACACCGAACTCCAGTGTTTGTCCTCGCTCTGGCCGGGTATTAGGGTTACCTAATCCTATTTTCTCGATAGGTCACGGCTGTGGACAACGACCGGCACGGGATGTTCGTGCACCAGTTCGTTAAGTCTCGGCGTCCGGCCGCGACCACCATCTCCCCGATATGTCGTGATGAATCGCCCCATTATCACACACCGTGCTGACCTTGAAACTGTGCCCGGTCGAGCCATTGTCATTGGGGCGGCATGTGCGGTATGTGTATGAAAATGTCCGGCCGCGGCGGCGCTGTGTCCCGCTGCAGCGGAGAGCCCGGCGCCGCTGTTGCGGTGCAGAAGCCGGCCGGGCTCAGCCGTGGGACAGACCGATCGTCGCAGCTGGTTCTGGTCTCTCACACTCACTCGCTCACACAGACGGCTGGGTGCTGAGAGTGAGACCGCCAAGAATCTCGAGCTGCCAGCTCCGACCACCTGGCTCAGATTTCTCCAGTGTCCGCCTGTGAATTATCATGGGACTGTACCGGAGCAGCCGCCATCGCAACCGCTTCTTGGAATCATTATTATCGTGTGCAAATTTTTGACCAAGCAAACACGCACCTCATCTTGCATTATTAACCACGGAGCAGAAACCGGTTTAAAACCTAATTGCTCGCATTTCACGCGAATTCCTTTCTCTGTCTGACCCCGGTGAACATTAGGGCTCAGACTAGTCTGAGACCGAGTCGGCTCCCCTAATCGCCCCGCTTTGTCTCGACTGGCGCCGACGCTCGGCCTTTCGTGACCGCGTGACCCGACGTGCAGTCACGTGACGGGTCGGCGCACGTCATCATTGCGTCACGGGCGTCATCAGCGTGTGACTCGGAGGGCCGCCAAGGTCCAGCGTGGCGTCAAGGAGGCTCCACTCCACCCTCCCCTGGACCAGTTCCGCGCGGTGACGCCGACTCCGCCCTCGGGGAAGGCCGGTGTGTGCTGTCAGAGGTCACCGCAGGCACACACCACGTCAGAACGTGCTCGGGACAGGAGACGGGGCGCTGTCCGTCTCTAACTAAGCCACTCGGCCACCGGAGGGTGAGTAACCATACGAAGAAGACGGCGGACACCGCCGTCGCTGCCGGCACCGCGGTGGCCGCGGCCGCCACCGTTGCCAGCGCGCGGTCGCCCGCCCGCTCGGCGCTGCGGGAGGTGCGGTCACGTGTGGTTGACTTGGTCACGTGTGGTGGCTGGTCCTCCCTCCTCCAAGGAGACGGCAGGAGGCTTTTGTAGGTAGGAGAGACGATAACAGCGATTGGCGTACAGATGGCATACAGCGACTGCATAAGATAGACTCTGTATTATTTGGGTGGAGGAGGCGGGGACTAATTTGACGTGAGAGAGATGTCACATTCATACCATTTACCAGGGGCCGAAAATATTGCGACACATGATAAGCCGAGAATCGTCGGTGCTAATACCCACTCACAGCGGTCATTAAGAACGCGGACACTGACGGACAGGGCGCATCCATCATGTGCCACTCACGGAGCTCACGAACTGGGAACGGCACGTCTGTCACGAATCACGGCCAAACGTGCGGCCGGCTAAAGACGCGACTGGCTCGGCGTGACGGTCCGAGCGCCTGCACCGGGTGCCCGACGGATGGGTATGGGAGGATGGGTGTATGACGCAGGTATAGGGTGTAAGGGTCACGGGAAACTCCGATAAATTCCCCTTGCCAGTTGTGCAGAAAATCGCGCATGGCAGACCGCGAATCTACCGAGTGAGTATGTGTGCGGTCGGGCAAGTTAAACGTTCTTGAGGACGGAAGGTTTTTCGTGACGTCAGACGCCCGTGCCTGTGGGAACGTCTCCGTGCTCCCGGAGCCGCGACGCTGACCCTCCGTCGTGGCCCCGGAGAGCGCGCAGTGCCGTGACCTTGTCTCGGCTGGGAGCCAGCGTCGGTGGCGTGCCACCAGGCCGCTTATCACGGGCCCGCCCCGTCCGGCAGCGGCCGTGCATCGTCCCACGCGCTGCACCATTCACACCTGGCGGCCGTGTGCACAGCGGACAAACACTGCAAGAGTGCCTATCGCATGACGCCAGTGCTGATGTTGGTGACCCTTCCGACCCTCGGCGCTCGCCGGAAGGGCGACCGGACGTGGGTCGCGGCCGGCGGGACTTGATTGTGTGCTAGGACAGCTCAAGGTCACACATTGGCGACATTCCTGTACAATGGGGAATGGTCTGTGGATGCATCTCGAGTATGCCGCGGGCGTTCCATGGACCATCGGTGCAGGCAGGCGTCGGCGGACCGCCGGCGGAGCGGCGCAGCGCTGACCTCCGCGCGGCACGCATGCCGACGGCTCCCGCTGGGACGGGAATGGTGCGCCGGTGGGTCACGCGCCTGAATCATTCTCGCTTTCGTGGCGGACCCACGGACGGCCGGGTGGTGGGCGGCGCTCGCTCGGAGCTGAGGGCGGTGCGGCCATCAGTCGGCGCGCGGCCGGCGCTGTTTACCGGCTGTTGTGCGGCCGCCGTCTGGTTTACGACACTGGCCGGCGCCGCCCCCGCCAGGTGTGGTGGTGTGCCGGTGACCCGTGCAGCCCCGCGGCCCCGACCCCGGCCCCCAACCCCGCTCCGACCCGCCCGAACGCCCGCCCGCCCGGCCGGCGCGGTGCGGCGTGGGGTCTATCGCTCGGACACGCCTATCGCTCGATACTGGCGGACCCATTTGCTTTTTTGGTGAAACGGGTGTTTGGATCGCTGGCTTTGGGAACAGGTGTTGAATGGTGTTGTGAAGCTGGACTGGTGTGTAAATTGCCTCTGTAATGTTTGTCACAGTCAACAACGTGCAATGCTGTTTGCATCGAATGTATGATACAGGCATTGCGTGTCCCAGACGGGAAATTTGATCGGCGGTGTCCTATAACACTTTGTTTTGCCATTAATTTAGCCCGTCAATAGACCATTTTAAACAAAAGTCCCGAGTATTTTTGCACCCACTTTGGATACAGTCATCCCTATTTTTATGGCAATTAAAATGTCGATGCGCAGAAACGAATGTTGGCCAACAATAACGGTTTTCAGAGCGATTGATCATTTTTACTTGGGATGTGCTTTCACTGACCGTATTTTCCGGCCGGTTTATCCTCATGACGCACAGTTCCCATGTGCTCAGTGCCACCTCCTGTTTACTATACGGGTGCCGCTGGGTCACGTACGAACTCGGTCACCTGCAGAGCGCTGGGGTCACACGACCGGTGTTCTCCGATCGGCAATACTGTGATCAACGACGTGACTGGTGCTGACCACAGTCATCCATTAAACTCTTACCTCCCGCACCTGCAGTCTGCAGCGCTGCACATCCCGTAATTGATGGTCCGAATCTCGGTCCGCTCGGTCCCACGCCTACCGTCCACCCCGTGCACCGGCCGCTCTTTGGGCAGTGCACCTGACCGCGCACCTGCGGTTGCTTCGTCCCACACCCTCTTTGCCCGGGGCACACCTGGAAGCGGTGGCCGGAGTGACCCAGGAGGAGCCCGGCGCCGGCAGCGCCCTGCGCGGAATGTGGCCGGACGGGTCCGGCCGCGCGCCCGTCCGCATCCCCCCCCCCCCCCACTCGGGGCTATCCTTCAGCTGCGAAATTAGCCGATTGGCGAATGGCGGGCTGGCGGCGCCGCTGGCCGCGCCTCTAACAGTGCCGACGGCCGCGCGAATGGCGGCCGACCCCCGGCCGGGCCAGCCATGCACAACGACCGGCCGGCCCGGCTGTGCACCGGCGGCTGGCGGCCTCACTTTGCGGTACCGGGCCGCCGAGCACCGGGTGCGGTCGCCGCTCGCGCGCATTGCCCTGTTTGCAGTGTGTGCCGAGGCCCGGTGAGGGCCGGTGCGGGTCAGAGTGTTGTCCGTGTGGGGCCAGCTGGGGTTCAGTGGTCGGTTTGTGGAAGCGTTGATTTCTACAGACAGCACCACGGGCCGCGGACGCTGCTTTTGCGCCGCGGGCGGCGCTCGGACGGCAACCACAGACCAGTCGAGAGACACCCGACATGTAGTGGTGCGCGGCATGTGTGCACTGTCATGTGTGTTGCCTCGCTAGTGACTCTCGTGCTGGTGCTCGGCGGCCCGAGTGGCGCCTCTGACCTGCCCGAGCCCTCGCCTTTCGATGGCGCGGACCCACACATTCCATCTACCGCTGCCGACGGCGACAGTCCGCCGGACTCTGAGGCCTTCTACGCCACTCTGCTGTCGTCATCCAGCCAGGAGCCCGACCAGCAGCCTGGCCGGCAGGGCAGGGGACTGGACGAAGACCCTTCCGACGAGGCCCGGCTCTCCTTCGCAGCGCAGGGTAGCTTCTACAACCTGACGTTGCACCGTGCCCCGAACTTCGTCGACCCTGACTTTCTAGTGCTGAAGCGGTATGACAACTACACAACTATCGTCCAGGCCGGCGCGGGTCCGTCGGCACCCTGCTACTACTGGGGAGAAGTTCGCCGAACCGGCGAGCAAAGGCCGGGATGGGCGGCCGTCAGTCTGTGTGGAAGCATGCGTGGGGTGATGCAGGTTGGAAATCAAAGTCTTGTTATCGAGCCTCAGGGCGAACGTCGGGTAACGCGGTCGGCGCCAACTGATAGCGATGGTCAAATCATTGGACCACAGATCCTACGCCTGGTGGCTGGTCCACTTCGGCCTGAAAAGAATACAGAAGGTGACCCGAATGCATGTGGGACAGGAAGCGCTGCTGGTGATGAGGAAGAGCTGAACTGTGATGATGGTGACAGTGCGTGTGCTAGTAAAGTTGATGGTGATATTGATCATATTGGAGAGGAGGACGTCAGTGCTCATGATCCTAAAATGAGGGTACGACGTGAGACCAGAAACCGTCATCCTCTTACTATTGAGCTGGCAGTTTATGTTGACCTACCGCTTCAAAAGCAGATGACGGACCTGTATGGCAAACACACGGACGAGGAGATCACCAACTTTGTCATGGCGATGGTCAATGCCATGGAGCTGCTGTACGACGACTCGTCCTTGGAAAGGAAAATCCGATTCGTGTTGAAGCGACTCGAGCTGCTCAAGACCAACAAGGCTGAGCTGAAGCAGCAGCGCGACATCAATGCCTTTCTGACCAGTTTCTGTCAGTGGCAGCAAGGCCAGAATGTGGCCTCAGACGCGGATCCGCTGCATTGGGATCACGCTGTTCTGCTGACTGGGGTGGATCTCTTTACGGCGGCAGACGCACGCGAGGTAAACCGGCAAGTGGTGGGCTTTGCACCCGTTGGGGGTATGTGTACCGCCGCCAGCAGCTGCACCGTGAACGAGGGCAAGGACTTCGAGTCTGTATACATCGTAGCTCACGAGATCGGCCACAGTCTCGGCATGCATCACGATGGCCAAGGGAACTCGTGTAACGCCGAAGACCACATCATGTCGCCTACTCTCGGCACGGGGAAGAACACCTGGTCAATATGCAGTCGCGACTCTCTGGATCGTTTTGTGGCCACGCGGCAGGCCGACTGTCTGAAGGACTCTAGCTTGGCGGTGGACCTGTCGAACCAGTGGCCGGACACGCTGCCTGGCGAGAGGATCGGCGCCGACCAGCAATGTCGACTCAAGTACGGACCCAGCAGTTCCCGGGCGCGCGAGCAGCCGCTTGCAGAGCTCTGCGTCAACCTGCACTGCAAGTACGACCACCACCGCTGGACCAGCCACCCAGCGCTCGAGGGCACCGCGTGCGGGTATGACAATTGGTGTCGTCGTGGTCAGTGTGTTCGCAGAGATGGCGGAGGTGACTCATCTGCCAAGCGCGACGGAGGCTGGAGTTCGTGGAGCAGCGCGACGCCGTGCGCTAGCTCCTGTCTCCGTGGAGATGACGGCTCGCTCTTTGAAGGCAGTGCAGGGGTACGTGAGCGCTTCAGGCGCTGCAACAGCCCATATCCGCGCAACGGAGGCGCTGAATGTGACGGCAGCGCGCGCCAGTACGAGACGTGCGACGCATCGGCGTTGTGCGCCCGCGCTAGACGACGCTCCGTCAGCGAGTACGCGCACGAGATCTGCCGACAAGCGGCTCGCTCTGATCGGAAGCTCTCTGGGTATGGCGTCAGTCGCGTCACCAGCAATGCCTTCGACGCGTGCAATATCTGGTGCGAGCGGCGCGATTCGGGCCTGGAGCGTCACCGGCAGTCGTTCCCTGACGGTGTGCGCTGCTCTACGCGGCCCGACGCCGGCAGCCGGCCGCAGTTCTGCGTCGGAGGACGCTGTGAGGCGTTCTCCTGCGATGGGCAGTCACTCTTTAGGGTCGGTGATGGCAGCTCGTGCAGCGGCGGTGATCTGGATCGCGCGCCAGTGGATACCCTCACCGCGGTGGAGAACGGGCTGAAGCTGTCGCCAGAAATGAACGTAGTTCAGCGGGACGGCTGGGACGACTGGCGCTCCTACTCTCGGTGCCGCTTCAGCTGCACGTCCCCTGCTAAGGGTCTGGAGCTGGTGCAGCGTCGCTGCCAGCAGTCGCCCTGCCGCGGACTCGACAAGACGGTACGTCACTGCGAGCCACAACGGGACGGCACCGACTGCGTCTCGCTGCGGACGCCCTTCGAGTACGCCACTGCCGTGTGCCAGCGCTACCGGAAGAAGTTGAGCCTGAGCCAGCTGTCGGGGATCGGCCTGCAGCTGTCTGCCTCCGCCGACGACCCGGACCGGCCGTGCACGGTCACTTGCCAGGACCGGGACGCGTCGCTGCGCTTCTATCGGGTCCGCGGCCGTGAGGGATGGTTCCCCTCCGGCATGGACTGCAGCCGCGGTGAGGAGGGACGCACCGCCTTCTGCCTCAGCGGCAAGTGCGTCGACTTCGCTGCTGATGGCACACCACTGCACGACTCCAAGTACGACTACGCATACCTGTTTGAGTCCAGTTTCCGGTTCCACCGCGTGGTACGTGCGCTGCGAAACACCAGCAGACCACGCGGCACCGTGAACCGCGCCTTCATCGAGCGCGTGATCAGCGAGCTGCAGTTGGAGCGCGAAGACGTCGGACCTGCTTCCTCCGCAGCGACCTTGCCGGAGATCATCAGCGTCGACGACATTGACCTGGAGGCTCCGCTGCTGCTGGCACGACTTCCAGCCGACTTCCCCGGCCGCCACGTTCCGGAGCCGGTACCACAGCCGCTGCCGGATCCGCCGGGCAACGCGCTCGGACACGCGTTTGCTCTCGGAGCGCCTAACCGCATGGTGGAGGAAGATGAGCGGCGACCTCCGACAGAGGAGCCGTACACTCCGAAGCAGGAGCCTGTGTGGGAGCCGGTGCCGGACTCCGCGAGCTCCGTGCGCCTGTCGCCGGTGGTGATGGTAGGAGTGGGCGTAGCGGTGATGGCGGCGCTGCTGTGGTAGCCGTCGCAGAAAATCTGTGAGACTCCAGTGATAGTGCGAGGTCGCCAACCTCGCGTGATTCCTAACTGAATCCGGTGATTCGCTGATCGGGGCCGCCTACCGATAATCGGCCACTTTATGATGTTGATTATTGACACGCAGTCACGCGAAATGCTGGGGAAAATGTTTGTCCACGGTCGTGGTATCGTGAACGTGATCTGAAAGAGCCTCGCGTAGCACGGAAGGCCAGATAACAATTCAGTGAAACAGACCGACACAATGAAATTGTGTTCAGCTCCTGCACGCTTGTTCACGCGAGACCCGAGCACGGTCTGGTCCAAAGCACGGCTGCTCTGCATTGAACAAGACTCAACTAAAGGTGTAGGCGTCTTGTTCACGTGCAGCCCCCGTTCGTGTTCCTGGACACTAACAATGCTTGCGATTTCTTCTCATTAGTCATTCCTTCTGTGTAGATATATATGGATCAGGGCAGTTGTGGTTCCCGAGTCCTCTGCCCCTCATTCGTGCAGAGTTCGAACTATGTTTTTGGTTCTCGAGCAGCCGTCTGGATCGGAACGCTGGTCTTGTGTGTTTTGTGACCTATTAATAATACAGAGGGATTTCGTCAGGCGATTGTTTAATTTATTGGGGCTTTCCTGATTTGGGGCGGCCCGCTCTCCGACACAGGGACGAGCTAAAAGTGAAAGTGGATGTTTCCGGTGTTTAAGTCACAATTATCCTACCAATGTAATTCCCCTGGATCTTCTGGCGTTTAAATCGATCGTTAAATTTATTGGCTCCTCAGCGGAGTTGAGGAGCCAATAAATCAGATTTATCCCTTGGGATAAATCTGAGGCGCAGTTTTCGCTTCTATTTTCGGTTTCCCAAGTCCAGCCGTTGTTTTAGAGCGGTTGCGTGGCGAACGTTCCACATTCCTCACTGGTGAGGTGAATTTTACGTCAGCTGTCGGGTGTTATGTCTCGTCGATAAGATAGGGCTGCAGACTGCAGGCATGACATGTATTAAATCAACCACTCTGAGTCCCTGACACGTAGCCGAAGAATTGCAATCGTGCGATCAGGGAACGTGCCACGGTCTCAGCCGCCATCGTCACCACCCCACCTGCTGGCCTTTCATCAGACAGGTGCCTTTCCTGTATCACAACCGACCACAGACTTTGCATGACCGCTTCGGGATGGTTATAGAGTAGCAGCAAAACTGGTCGAGGATTTACCCGTGCTTACCTGCGTGATTTCGTTAGCTCCAAACAGCAGTCCGGTAATTCACCGGTGCGTGACTTGGCCAACGACCATCCTGGACGACCCTGGGCGATGTCAGTATAACCGGCCGGCCTGGAGTCCGCGTCGCCTTGCGTGCCAATGGTTCCCTTCGTACGACCCATGCTGATGTCAGTACGGCTGTTCGCATGTGATCCGTACTAGAATTTACGGGTCGGGATCACATGCAGCGCCAGCGAGAGATCACCCATCGGCACGCTGTGACGAACCGGCGCTCTGTCGCTAACAAAGGATCGATGACAGTTTTTGTGAGCGCCTGTTTTGTGCCATCGGTGGCCCGCTGTTGGCTCCAAAAAGTTCAATACCGGCGCACCCGTATCGGGCTATCTCAGGAGCTTAGTTAAATCCTGCTGGATGACGTATTTGGTATGGCCGCCCTTCTGGGCCGCTATCGAGTATCGTGGGCCGACTATCGCGCCATCGCCGGCACATTTTACAGCCGCGGCCTATCAAACGCCGGCCACATAACTCGCGCCGGGCCCGCGCGATTGTTTTCCCCTGGCGTGACGGCGCGTTTGGCGGCCGGTCCGGGTGGGCTGAGGGGCTGTCCGGCCGGCTGGACCCGGCTGCTCAGAGGGCTGGCGGTGCCCCGGGTCACCGTTGGCCGTGGCCGTGGCGGTCCGACCTCGCTGTACCGTGGGAGCACTGCTCTCGGTCCAGGTCACGGTGCGGCCGCCGCCGCCGGGCAGAGGCCGGCCGGGAGCGAGCCCCGCCCGAGCGCCGCGCGGGCGCCGACCCAGCTAATGGCAGAGCGGCCCCGCCTCGGCCGCCCCTGCCGCCGCCCCCGCCCACACCCGTGCGGAAGCGACTGGCCGACCGACCAAACGGCTGGCGCGGCCGAACTAAATGGAGCTGCTAAATCGCTGCATTTTAAAATGAACCTAGGCTGTACGAGCTTTTGTATTTTTGTTAGGTGTGCTTACTTTTTAGCGCGATGCGTGATAAGCATCATACTTGCCACAGAACACAAGGTTTGACTCAATAAAAATATGTTGATATGACCACGTCACATCATCATATCATGTCATGTTTTGCTATCAACATAAATAACGCACAAGAGGTGCCTGCATTTATTTAGGTGTGCTTCGTCCGCTATATTTGCCATACGTATGCCGCCTTCTGCCATAGTGCATCTCTAACACCGTCACGTTGACTCATTACTCATGCCACCAGTGACTGGCCAGCGCCTTGACTCAGCCCGCTAGTGTCAATGTCAGCGGTACACAGGTGTGACCCGCCGCGCGCAGCTGTGACGCTCCTGTTACCGTGCTGGTCGATCCGGGCTGAGTAACACTTCAAACACACACTACACGTTCAGTGTATACGAAGGTATACGTTATGCTGGTGTAAAGCATCCTTCTGCGCCGTCAGAAGCAGAGAGGTGGTTATAACGTCGCATCTCTAGTCGAAATGGCTCTCTTCTCGCAGGAGTGGGGAGGAAAACTCCGTTCGTATAGGTGCACCCCGAGTACTGAGTGCCGCCCGGTGGCTGCGGCAGCCTCCGATGTGTACCTTGTGTGCAGACATGTGCTTGGATCCGAGAGCTGGATCTATGATCTCAGTGGATCTCTCGACAAAATAGAGGGGTTGGATCTATGATCCGAGTGGATCTCTCGACAAAATTCAGGGGTTGGATCTATGATCCGAATGGATCTCTCGACAAAATTTAGGGGTCGGATCTATGATCTCTGTGGATCCAGCGGGCAAAAATTTGTGGAGGACCTATGATCTGTATGGATCTCACGACAACATGTAGCCAATGAAACCCTTATCCTACATAATTGTACACCTTACAGTGCAATACAATTGAGGATTATCACTTGTGGACATGGTTATTGGTTAAGACCACTTGTAATCATTAGGTATCATCATTAAATTTGAATTTAAATAAACAACATTTGCTACTTTTTGTGACCAATTGTAACTTTTTCATGACAGCACTGATGACAATCTTATCAACAAGCTACAGCCACTTAAATTCAATGAACAAACAGTACAGACAGATGCAGTGGCAGCAGGGCACTGCAGATTTTCATTTTGGTCCCATTCTTTCCATGCAACGCCAGTAGGGCTATATGTTAAAATGCCAAAATCTATGGGGGGCACTGTACCCTGGTGCCACCCCCCCCCCTGTTCTGCCACCTATGGACAGATGTTAGGAAATCAAACCTGGAAGCCAAATAGGTCAGTTTTGTTAAAAATAATCCAGCAATCCACTTCTGCCAGGTTTAACTCACCTGATGAAATCCCAATCCAGAATGTTCGTATGAGCTATCAGCTATTAGTATGTGCAACACAATTTCGATTTAGTAAGAATAGCAACCAACCTCTAATACTTTCCTAATAAAATTACAAGTTCAAAAATGGCACCAACTTCTTCAGATTACCTACTTTTGGCAACGGCCACGTGTGGTGCCATGCTGTGCTTTTGTTATGAGAGAGCGGGAGTGTCTAAAAAGCAGACGAGATTAGCAGACGAGCCCATGCTCAGTAACTACTGGACTGATTTTGATAATTCTTTCATCATTCAATAGCAGGGAACTTATATAGGTGCCGTTTTTCGTTTTTTGGCGATTGGTTCACTCTGACTGGACCAATCGGACCAAAATGGTCCAGAACCATACACCCCCTTAAAAGCAGACGAGCCCATGCTCCGAAACTACTGAATCGATTTCGATGAAACCTTCACCATTAGACGCGCCGTGGTCTGAAACGGTGCCGTTTTTTATAATTTTCTGATTGGTCCACCCTAAGTGGTCCAAATCGGTCCAAAACCCCTAAAATCTGTTGCAGACGAGCCCATGCTCCGAAACTACTGGACCGATTTCGATGAAACCTTCACCATTAGACGCGCCGTAGTCTGAAACGGTGCCGTTTTTGATAATTTGTTGATTGGTCCACCCTAAGTGGTCCAAATCGGTCCAAAACCGCTAAAATCTGTTGCAGACGAGCCCATGCTCCAAAACTACTGGACCGATTTCGATGAAACCTTCACCATTAGACGCGCCGTGGTCTGAAACGGTGCCGTTTTTGATAATTGTTTGATTGGTTCACCCTAAGTGGTCCAAATCGGTCCAAAACCGCTAAAATCTGTTGCAGACGAGCCCATGCTCCGAAACTACTGGACCGATTTCGATAAAACCTTCAACATTAGACGCGCCGTGGTCTGAAACGGTGCCGTTTTTGATAATTTTTTGATTGGTCCACCCTAAGTGGTCCAAATCGGTCCAAAACCGCTAAAATCTGTTGCAGACGAGCCCATGCTCCGAAACTACTGGACCGATTTCGATGAAACTTTCACCATTAGACGCGCCGTAGTCTGAAACGGTGCCGTTTATGATAATTTGTTGATTGGTCCACCCTAAGTGGTCCAAATCGGTCCAAAACCCCTAAAATCTGTTGCAGACGAGCCCATGCTCCGGACCTACTGGACCGATTTCGATGAAACCTTCACCATTAGACGCGCCGTGGTCTGGAACGGTGCCGTTTATGATAATTTTTTGATTGGTCCACCCTAAGTGGTCCAAATCGGTCCAAAACCGCTAAAATCTGTTGCAGACGAGCCCATGCTCCGAAACTACTGGACCGATTTCAATGAAACATTCACCATTCGACGCACCGTGGTCTGAAACGGTGCCGTTTTTGATAATTTTTTGGTTGGTCTACCCTAAGTGTTCCAAATCGGTCCAAAACCGCTAAAATCTGTTGCAGACGAGCCCATGCTCCGAAACTACTGAATCGATTTCGATGAAACCTTCACCATTAGACGCGCCGTGGTCTGAAACGGTGCCGTTTTTTATAATTTTCTGATTGGTCCACCCTAAGTGGTCCAAATCGGTCCAAAACCCCTAAAATCTGTTGCAGACGAGCCCATGCTCCGAAACTACTGGACCGATTTCGATGAAACCTTCACCATTAGACGCGCCGTAGTCTGAAACGGTGCCGTTTTTGATAATTTGTTGATTGGTCCACCCTAAGTGGTCCAAATCGGTCCAAAACCGCTAAAATCTGTTGCAGACGAGCCCATGCTCCAAAACTACTGGACCGATTTCGATGAAACCTTCACCATTAGACGCGCCGTGGTCTGAAACGGTGCCGTTTTTGATAATTGTTTGATTGGTTCACCCTAAGTGGTCCAAATCGGTCCAAAACCGCTAAAATCTGTTGCAGACGAGCCCATGCTCCGAAACTACTGGACCGATTTCGATAAAGCCTTCAACATTAGACGCGCCGTGGTCTGAAACGGTGCCGTTTTTGATAATTTTTTGATTGGTCCACCCTAAGTGGTCCAAATCGGTCCAAAACCGCTAAAATCTGTTGCAGACGAGCCC